GCCAGATTGATCAGCTCCCAGATTGATCAGCAGCCCGATTGTTCAGCAGCCCGATTGTTCAGCTCCCAGATTGATCAGCTCCCAGATTGCTAAACAAAAAGTAACAAAGAACAACCCAAAAGTCAACCCAAAAGCGCATAACCGAAAGCGGCAAACGGAGATCCGGGTAAATCTGTGGCACCTTGTAGAGAAAAGCGACAGATTCGCCGAATGACGAATGACAGATTCGCCGAGATTCGACTAGCGCTTATTCAAACGCTTGTTAAATGAGTTATATAAATCCAATCGGGAATCTTTTTGTAGATAAATGTAGCCAAGGTTAAGGGCTACAATGGCCACCTTGTGGCTACAAGGCCACCATTTCATTTGGCCACCTTTTGATCTTCTTGTGACATGCTACCTTGTGATCTTGTTAGTTAAACGTATTTTTGTTTTCCAGGCTAGTTTTCCAGGCGATTTCGGCTTCTGGCCGGCAATTTAACATTTAGATTCTTCACTCTGAATGTTTAAAACACAAATTTTCAAGAAGCTCTGGTCTAGCGTTGAAATTTCTTGGCTACCGTTGAAATTTGGTGACGACCATTCCTGGATTGAGCCTGGACGATTGAGAGCTTGTAAGCCAACTTGTACGCGAAAATAAGTAGTTGAACGAGGAGTTGAATGAGAGAGAGATGCTCTCCTTTTCCCTCTCTCCTTTTACTATTCAAAGCTCTTGAAACTCAGCTGTGACATCCAGTTTTTCGAACGATTCAAATCGATATCGATATCGATAATTCAAACTCAATGCTATCATTTTGATTTTTTTGATTTTTTTGATTTTTTTGATTTTTTGGTTTTTTTGATTTTTCCCTTTCCCATCCTCTCAATCAATCCATCAAAAAAATCTTTTTTCGTTTTTTCATCGATTTGATAACGGTTTTGATGAAAGATTTATTACAAAAGCAGTCGTTTTTTTGTCTTCTTTCCTTCATTTTTCCTTTCTCTCGAGATGAGAAATGATTTTCTTGAAGTTTCGAGATCAAAAAGTTTCCCTAATCAAAATTTTTGGTTTCCTTTTTTCTTATTTATTTATTTTCAAAAATTTTTCCCTTTCTGGATGTCACGTAACTTGAATTTGATCTCAAAAAAATCGTTTTACCGTTGAAAATTTTTTTTTAGGACTTTCAAGTTCTCCTTGATTTTTTGAAAATTTTTCAAACAAAGTCTGTAATTTCTAAGGAATAACTCCAATCTGGATGTCACTAGATCTAAAAAGTTTAAAAGATTTTGTGAAATCCAGAATTAAAAATTTTTTTTCAGAACTTTTAAGATCTCCTTGATTTTTTGAAAACTTTCCAAAGAAAGTCTGTAATTTCTAAGGAATAACTCCAATCTGGATGTCACGATACCTAAAAAGTTTAATAGATTTTGTGAAATCCAGAATTAAAAAAAATTTTTCAGAGCTTTCAAGATCTCCTTGATTTTTTAAAAAATTTCCAAATCTGGTCTATAATTTCCAGCAAATATGTTCAATCTGGAAGTCACAGAATTGAAAGATTTGAAATTTTAACCTTAAATCGTTGATTTTAAAGATTTTTTTATGGATTTTCAAGTTCTCCTCGATTTTTAGAAAATTTTCCAAGTATGGTCGATAATTTCTAAGAAATAACTTCAATCTGGATGTCACTAGATCTAAAAAGTTCAATAGATTTTGTGAAATCCAGGATTTAAAAAATTTTTGAAAATTTTTATGACCTCGTGAATTTTTCAAAGATTTTCCAAGTATGGTCTGTAATTTCTAAGAAATAACTCCAATCTGGATGTCACTTTATCTAGAAACTTCAATAGATTGAGAATTTTTGGAAAATTAAACTTTCAAAGTGTGACAAGTATGACAATTCGAGAAAAGTGCTACAAATTGAGGAAAACAAAAACAAACAAAAAAATTTTGCCTTTCTGGATGTCACGTAACTTGAATTTGATTTCAAAAAAATCGTTTTACCGTTGAAAATTTTTTTTCGATTGGATTGAGAGCTTGTAAGCGAGTTTAGCTCGGAGCTCGGAGCTCGGAGCTTTAGAAGCTCAGAGAGTTTGTGGTTTTAAATGAGAAATGAATTTTTGCGAATCCTGGACATCATAAAAGGATTTGGGAAAGAAAAAAAGTAGAGTTTTGTTGAATTTTTGGATTTTCTGGATTTTTGGATTTTCTGGATTTTTGGATTTCTGGATTTTATTAAAATGACGTCACTTTCGAAAAGCCTATATAGATACTTTAGTCTAGTCGCGTAGGCTAACTTTGAACGTTCTGTTCTCCTTGCTGCTTTATGCTACAGTGTGCTACATGGTGTCAAATGATAGCTCTTGAAATCTAGTAATTTTTGATACCAAAAGTGTAGTTGGGAATACATATAATGATAATAAATAGAGGCTGAGAAAAAAAAGAAGAAGAAGTTCTAAAGCTTCTGAGAAAAAAGAAGAAGTTCTACAGCTTCACTAGTTCTACACTAGAGCTTAGGCTTGGAGTCCATTAGAGCTTAGGCTTGGAGTCCATTAGAGCTTAGGCTTGGAGTCCATTAGAGCTTAGGCTTAGGCTCCATTAGAGCTTAGGCTTGGAGTCCATTAGAGCTTAGGCTTGGAGTCCATTAGAGCTTAGGCTTGGAGTCCATTAGAGCTTAGGCTTAGGCTCCATTAGAGCTCCATTGAAGCTCCATTAGAGCTTCAAGATCAAGATCAAGATCATCTACAGATAATTGAAAGCTTTCGAGACTATTGGACTCTCTCAAAACCCTGGAGAGTCGATTCCAAATCCTGGCAGTTCTTATTGAAAAAGAGTTATGTTTTCTATTTTCTATTTTCTATTTTCAGCTTTTTTTCTACTCAATTCGACTCTAAACAACTCAAAAAAGGTAAGCAAATATTCAATTAGATGAACAAAACTCCACTTTTTTCTTTCCCAAATCCTTTTATGCCGTCCAGGATTCGCAAAAATTCATTTCTCACGTAAAATCATAAACCCTCTGACCTTCTAAAGCTCCGAGCTTCGAGCTAAACTGGCTTACAAGCTCAAAAAACTGAAAAATCGAAAAATCGACGAATTTTTAGATGTCAGCCGTTGGAAGTGTTTTCTCGATGATGCGCGCGCAAAGGACGAGCATTGAAAAGGAACGCGAAAAGCAAAATGGTAAGGGTTTAGAATAACATCTCGGAGCCAGGTTTTCTCAAAAAAAAAACCAGGAAAACCTCGAAAAGCCGAATGAAGACCGAGAGAAATTTTTGGACAGAGATTTTAGACAAAAATAGATCCGAAAACAAATTTCCGATTTGTTTTTTGAGCGATCTGGAACGCACTACGGTAGTTGGTTTGCTTTTTAGACGCTCTAATTCAAAATTTGAATTTTCAAGTAAGAAAAAGCTGTTCAGAGTATTTTGACGGAAATTAGATAAGAGAGAAGTAATTTTAAAGGATTTTTCGGGCCTCCTGGAACGCACTACGGTAGCTGGTCTACGTTTTAGGCGTTTTAGAACAAAATGGAAATTTCGAGAACAGACCAAAACTGTTGCCGTTGTGGGTAGAATTTAGAAAGCTTTTCTTTTCAAGATTTCAAGATTTTCCCTTTCCATTCATCGCTGTGCGTTCCAGATCAGCCCGTACAGTGGTCCGATCACGCGGAAAGTCTCGCGTTCGATGGTAATCCCACAAGTCCCGCAGATCCCACAATCGCCAGTTTCCACTCCAACAACCCCGAGTCCAAGTGTCTTCGCGACGGCTTCGGTGAGCTTTAGTGACATCCAGATTGCGCAAAAATGACTTTAAAAAGAAGTTTGGTCTAATTTAAAACACAAAAACGAAGCAGCACAAAAATGATGCCGAAACGCAGGCTTTCTGGCGCACAGATGGCTGTCAGGCTCTTCATTAAAAGCTCAGTTTTCTATCTGGAAGTCAGGAAAGCCAATGACGTCATTATAAACGACTATTTGTACTATTTAAAATTTGTAGACAATTTGAATACAATTTAAAATGCAAATTTGTAATTTTGCAAAAATGCAAATTTTTAAAATTTGCATACCCTTTAAAATTTGCATAAATTTTATCGTCTTTAAAAGAAACATTTTCTGATTTCTCTAATCTGGAAGGCATTTAATTTGCATTTATTGGTTTTTTCAGAATCTCTTCAAATTGCCTTTCTTCACTCAACGCTCCAACAGCTCTCCAGGCACGGAACATAGCTGACCGAATTCCGCAATCCACAACAATTTCTCTAAGCTTTTAAATAAATTTTCATCTAAGCTGGAAGTCACAAAGAAAGTCTCTTTTATTGGAATTGGGCAAATTCACAAAATCCGTCCATCCAGAGTGACGTCACTCACTAGATAGCAGGCTGACCCCCCTCCTATCTCCCCTCTGACACACTAAATTCCATTCTTTTCCAAATTTTTCCCTTATCTGGAACGCACAATAGCCATTTTTTAAAAAAAAACCCAAAATTTCATGTTTTATTCCAAGTGGTGCTGATGGTTCAGAAACGCAGGCTTTCTGGCGCACAGATGGCTTTCAAGCTCTCCATTAAAAGCTCAACTTTCTATCTGGAAGTCAGGAAAGCAATTGACGTCATGATAAACTCGAAAATGTTCATTTTAAAATCACGCTTTTTTTTGCACCAAAACAACGCTTTCAACTACACTCCTGTACAAAGTACGACCACGAAACGACCACAAAACGACTATCAAATGTCTTGAATGCATTTTTGGAGAGATCGGTTAGCGTGCCTTAAATCCCTTTTTTTTTAAATGGTTGAAAGCAGCCGAGAACCGAACTTTCCACGAATGAAATAAAAAAATCGTCGAAATCGAAAAAATCATAAAACCACAACATTAAAACAATAGCATGACTTCCAGGATCACCAAATTTTGCTTTGAAATTCAAACAAAATCGATTTACCCATCTTTATAGCTACAGAGTCTTTCCAGAGCTGAAATTCGGAATAGAATATCGAAAATCGACGCCGATTTAAGCTCAATTAGCAAAATGGGAGGCACGCTTGGGGTAGCCGATCGAATCTCCGTTGTTTGAAGGGAATGGAATGGAGAGGTGTGGCCTCGGGTCTAGACCGAGGCCTTGCGAAGAGATTGAGGCCACTGAAGAGCCACCAGACAACGAAAGACGCCATCCTGGAGCGCACGGAGCGTTGCCCGGGTGCCCGCGCGGCCGCATAGTCGATGACGGGGTGCCCGCCTGGGCCCCTTTCCGGGACTGGCCCCTTTCCGGCTGCCTCTTCCACTCGATTCCCAACTTCTCTCGCTTTTCGTGAGATCTGGCACGCACGGCACGAGAATCCATCGCTTTTCTCGGGCATCTCTGTCTTTTGAGTTTCCCTCCTCCTTCCTATCCAGTCTGTCCAATTTCCTTCTTTCTTTTCTCTCTCCAGCTCCCAATCTTTTCATTTTCAGCCATCCTGGAGCTCACCGCACCTCTCCACAACGTTGTTTTCCCCCTTTCTACAACTTTTACTCCAAGCCTACTACCCCATCTCTCTTCATCCCTTCACAGCGCCTCCAAAGCCTCATTTCCCAATTTCCCGGCACTTTCTCGGCAAGCTGGATGGCATCGCGTCTATTAACACTCTCAGTTTTGGCTGTGTGCCAAATTTGAGATCTCTCAATTAGTCAGCACCTCAGCCTCGACCCCAGCATCGAGACGAGATTAATTAAAAATCGCTTCTCTTTTCCGGTCTTCCTTTCCGTCTTCCTTTCTCGATCTTCTTTTTGCTAAAGGGCCTCCATCGCCAGCCTATTAGACCCGATGAAAGGGCTCATTGGATGGATGTGAAGGGGTGGAGGGGAGGGAGAGAAACGGGACTGGCTAAAAAGAGGCACATCGATTGCAGGGACACTTGAATTCGAATGAAGATCCGAAAATGCTGGCTGTCAATCGGAGCAATGAGACGTAAAAGTTTCGATTTTGTTGAAAATTTCGAAATTTGAAATTTTGTGTGTTGGGGTACAGGGTTGACACCCGAAAATGTTCAAAATGGGTTTTATAATTTTATTTTTCGTTCAAAGCATGCGGTGACATCCAGCAATGACTGTAGACGTTGAATTTTTTGCAAATTAAGCAAAAGCTCTTCAGAATTTTTGAGAAAAGTTGTTGACCAGAATTTGAGGCAAAAATTGAGACCGGGACAAATGTTCGATTGGTTTTTTAAGCAATCTGGAGTGCACTACGGTAGTTGGCCTGCTTTTTAGACGCTCTAACTCAAAATTTCAATTTTCATGTAAGCAAAAGCTGCTCAGAGTATTTTGACGGAAATTAGATAAGAGAGAAGTCATTTTAAAGGATTTTTTGGGCGTCCTGGAACGCACTACGGTAGCTGGTCTACGTTTTTAGGCGTTTTAGGACAAAATGGAAATTTCGAGTACAGACAAAAACTGTTGCCGTTGTGGGTAGAATTTAGAAAGCTTTTCTTTTCAAGATTTCAAGATTTTCCCTTTCCATTCATCGCTGTGCGTTCCAGATCAGCCCGTACAGTGGTCCGATCACGCGGAAAGTCTCGCGTTCGATGGTAATCCCACAAGTCCCGCAGATTCCACAACCGTCAGTTTCCACTCCAACAACCCCGAGTCCAAGTGTCTTCGCGGAGCTTTAGTGACATCCAGATTGCCCAAAAATGGCATTAAAAAGAAGTTTGGTATAATTTAAAGCACAAAAACGAAGCAGCACAAAAATGATGCGGAAAATTTTATCAAAATCGGTTTTTAGAATTTTATTTTTCGTTCAAAGCATGCAATGACATCCAGCAAAGACTGTACACGTAGAATTTTTCGGAAAAAGTGAGAGAAATTTTGAGTTGAGGTTGAGCGGAAGGGTTGAGCAAAAATCGAGGGGAAAGAATGTACAAGAGTTGCTCTGAATTGCTCAAGAAATGATTGAAAACGATTTTCTGGGGTTAAATGCGTGCCAGATTAAAGGGAAATGGCGATTTTGGAAGGCATTGAGGCAATAAGAAGGACGAGCAATGACGACGATCGACGATCGGTTGTTGCAAAGTTTTTCAAAACAGTTTTCTGGTTCAAATGCACTCCAGATAAGCGAAAAATGACTGAAATTTGTAAAATGAAGTTATAGAAGTTATAGAAAGAAAAGCGAGCTTTAAACTCGATCACAAATCGGTGAGAATTTCGAATTTTGATTTCAGCACTCGATCGCACATTTCATAGAGTTTCCATTTTGTGTGAAAGGTCGAGAAAATCAGGGAATCGTTTGTGTGAGAGATGAAATCTTTTTGAGCACACTGCGAAAGGATCGGCTGAGCGTTTGTATGATTCGCGAAGAGAGCCGAGAGGTGATTCGTCACACGCGACGCGCCCGAGGACAAGTGATTTACCTAGAATTGGCGATTTGAGATGCTTATCGGACGATCCCGCTATCGGATTATCCTTCTATCGGATTATCCTTCTATCAGACATTTGACTGTCCCGCTCCTTTTCCCATTAACAATCTGGCCTATCTGGTCCCGCCTCTTTTGCCAATATGACTTTGAACTAAAGTATCTCGGCTTTGGGCTGTCCAATTCAAGTCTTCTTAGTATCATTAGATGCGCCAAGTCTTTCTCTATCGATTGGTATAAAAACTATTGAATTTGGACCACCCAAACCCGAGATACCCAAGCTCAAAGTTAAGGTGCCACAAAGGGGCGGAGCCAGAAAGACCTTTTATAGGTGCCCCATATCATTAGATGCGCCAAGTCTTTCTCTATCGATTGGTACAAAAGCCATCTAAATTAAACAGACACGCCTGCTCTCTCGTTTTTTTGTTATCGGACGCCCCGCCCCTTTTGCCATTGACTTTGACTTTGAGCTAAAATATCTCGGCTTTGGGCCGTCCAATTCAAGTCTTCTTGGTCTCATTAGATGCGCCAAGTCTTCCTCTATCGATTGGTAGAAAAACTATTGAGATTGGACGATCCAAAGCCGAGATATTTAAGCTCAAAGTTTGACAAAGGGGACGGGGCCTTTCTAGCCCCGCCCCTTTTGCCAACCCAAGACTTGGCGCATCTAATGATACTAAGAAGATTTAAATTGGATGGCTCAACACCGAAATACTTGAGCTTAAGGTTGGATTGGCAAAAGGGGCGGAGCCAGAAAGCCTTTTATCTTTTGCCCGTCTTTTTTCGATTAGCAAACTTTGAGCTTAAATATCTCGGCTTTGGACTGTCCAATTTAAGACTGATTGGTCTCATTAGATGCGCCAAGTCTTTCTCTATCGATTGGTAGCAAAACTATTGAATTTGGACAGACCAAAGCCGAGATATTTGAGCTTAAAGTTGGAGTGCCCACCGTTTGCACACAAAACTGCTTCTCGTAGGGCGGCAGCTCGCTTTTCAGCTGGGTAACAACCAAAATCGGAACGATGATCAACACAAGGAATTGCGCGAAAACGAAAAGACCGAACGCGGTTTTTCGGCTCGTGCACGGCAAGAGAAGGGAGGCTGAAATTCGAAGTGAAACGAGTTCTCGATAAAATCTCGAATTACAATACACTTTGAGCTGGCAAGAGATAGATATTTGTTTGATCTGGATGTCACAAAAGGCATCGACTTTAAGAAATTCGATATTCGGCCGAGTTGGCACTGAGCTACAGTACACTCTGGACTACAGCAGGCCTGGCTGACCAGCCCTGGCCTACGACTACCCAAGCCAGCTAGAAAGCAAGCCTCGATTTCTAAAACCTCTCTACCTACCGTAAATAAGCGGAAACGAGGGTATCAAGGCTGAAATGAGGACCGCCGGCACAGCTCTCAAGATTTTCGCTTGCTCGAGAAGAGATCCTAAATGGAAAATTGAATTTCGAGCATTAACCTGGGATTCTGCTTAGTGAAATGTGAATTCTGGAAGTCATTCTTGCTTTTGAGTTGGGAAGCAGCTGATTAAGTCGTTTTTGAAAGTTGGTTTTCAGATGATTGGGTTGGAACAAAAATCGTGAACCAAGAAAGATAAACGTTCGATTTTTTCGAGCTAATTGTTAATCCTGGATGTCATTCTTGCTTTTGAATTGGGAAGAGGCGCTTGATTAAGTATTCTTTGCAACTTGGTTTTCTGACGATTGGGTTGGAACAAAAATCGTGAACCAAGAAAGATAAACGTTCGTTTTTTTCGAGCTAATTGTTAATCCTGGAAGTCATTCTTGCTTTTGAATTGGGAAGAGGCGCTTGATTAAGTATTCTTTGCAAGTTGGTTTTCTGACGATCGGTGCTGGACCGAAATCGCGAACCAAGAAAGATAAACTTTCAATTTTTTCGATCTAATTGTCAATCCTGGAAGTCATTCTTGCTTTTGAATTAGAAAACGGCGGTTAATTAAGTATTCTTGGCAAGTTGGTTTTCTGACGATCGGTGCTGGACCGAAATCGTGAACCAAGAAAGATAAACTTTCGTTTTTTTCGATCTAATTGTCAATCCTGGAAGTCACTCTTGCTTTTAAATTAGAAAACGGCAATTGTTTAAGTCTTTTTCGCAAATTGGATGTCAAGTAATCGACAAACGACGAAAGCAGTGGGAAAATTCTCAAATTTGCATGAATTTCGATTCACCTGGATGCTCGGACGAACTTGTGGCTCCAGGTGGGGCAATAATCGCCAAAATGATGAAACCGTAGAAAATCCAGAAGCCCCCGGCGGCCACTCCCATGCTAACGCCCATACAAGTGATCTGACGACTCGTGTAGGGTCCGCTTTGCTGAAAGTTATCAAATATGCAAATTTTTTGTACTAAATTTTAAAATGACCTCCAGCATTTGCATTTAAAACTTTAAAATAGCCGAAAGTTGAGAAACGGCGAAAATTTCGCCTCAAACTCTTTCACTCGAAATCTCAACTCGGTCAAATGTTGAGATTTTCAATTTTTTTCATTTTAACTACGTTTTGTGATGTCCAGATCGGACAAAAATCAAAATTTTTTTATTTAATAATAATCTAGTTTTCGATATTTTGCGACGAACTCGAAACCAACCCTCCACCTTCCCCATATTCGCTCGTTTAACGTCGGGTTCTCCGGCACACGCTCGACCGGCTTCTCGTCAAGTTTTTTCAAGCAATGTGGGCATTCTAAAGATTCTAAACAACTAAAATTCGCTATAATTCGTGTTTTCAATTCTGAATGAGACTCGGGAAAATTTGCATTAAAAAAATAAATTTTAAAAATTTCCATTGGAAAACTAGATTTGAAAAATTTGCATTTAAAAACAAATTTTAGAAATTTGCATTTAAAAATAAATTTTAAAAATTCGCATTTAAAAAATAAATTTTAAAAATTTACATTTAAAAACCTATATTTAAAAAATTTGCATTTAAAAAACTAAATTTTAAAAGTTTGCCTTTAAAAAAATAGATTTTAAAAATTTGCATTTAAAAAATAAATTTGAAAAATTTGCATTTAAAAAATAAATTTAAAGAATTTGCATTTAAAAAATAAATTTAAAGAATTTGCATTTAAAAAATAAATTTAAAGAACTGCATTTAAAAAATAAATTTAAAGAATTTGCATTTAAAAAACTAAATTTAAAGAATTTGCATTTAAAAAACTAAATTTTAGAAATTTGCATGTAAAAATAAATTTTAGAAATTTGCATTTAAAAAATGATTTTCAAAAAATCTCAAAAACGAAAATTTGCAAATTTTTTTGTTCCAAATGCTAGAGTGCGTTCCAGATTGGCCATTCAGCTATTTGATTTCGAAAATCGACTCACCTTTCCTCGTCAGCTTCTCCTCGTCCTCTTTCGGGTAGGGGAAAATCGTGAAAATCGACATTTTGCAAAAACTCGCGACTGGATCATCAAAGTGATGTCCAATTTCGACAATGCGCCTATTTTTTCGCGATCTTTCTAAGATTTCTACCGAGTAAACAGGTCGATTTCGAAACAAACCTTTCTCTTGGAAAATTCCCCGAAAACAAGGCCGATTTCTCTTTTTTTACCACCTTTGGATTGTTCGCGTGATCTCGGCATTCAACGAATTGACGAGAAAAGAAAAATAAAAGCGAATCGGGAAACTGGTTTAGGACTATTTTTGGGTAAACGACTGCAGAAAAAAAAATTTTTTTGGGCTTTTTAACGAATCGAAAATCGGATTGATTAGAAATTGATGGAAATTAGTTTAAAAGATCAAAAGATCAATTGAAATGAGAAACTAGTTGGCTAAATAGCAAGCTTTTGCGAGTCGAAAAGCTCAAAATCAATGCTAAACCCCTAAAATGCTGATCTCGCATTTTAAATGCTGTTAAAAGCCAAGAATTTGAAAAAGAAGTAGATCAATGTTAAATCTGGATGTCATGTTACATATTGGATCTCGAAACTTTTAGATTTGGATGCTTTTCAGTCAATCGGTTTCTAAGATTCTAAGTCTGGTACTCCAAATGCTTTTAAAAGCCAAGAATTTCAAAAAGAAGTAGATCAATGTTAAATCTGGATGTCACTTTACGTATTGGACCCGGAAATTTTTAGATTTGGTTCCGAGAAGGTCAATCGGTTTCTAAGATCTAAGGTTCTAAGACGCCGACATCCATCAACATCCATCAACAACCACTGCCGAGGATCGAGCGATCATCAGGCAATTCAAAAAGAACCCAAGTCTCACCTCGATCGATGGAAGTCTGTACAAATCACAGTTCGGCAAAGATATCCCAGCAAGAACCGTGAGGAGGCGACTCATCAAAGTTGTACGCTAGACAATCAATGAAGACGCTGGAGGATCCAGGAAGACGCTAGATGATCCAGGAAGACGCTAGACGTTCCAGGAAGAAGCTAGACGATCCAGGAAGACGCTAGATGATCCAGGAAAACGCTAGACGATCCAGGAGGACGCTAAACTATCTAGGAAGACGCTAGACGATCTAGGAAGAAGCTAGACGATTCAGGAAGACGCTAGACGATCAATGAAGACGCTAGACGACCAGGTATGATCCCTCGGATTAGGCGACTTCGTTTAGCCTTTACGCTTTACCAAAGTTGGAGGAGCGACGATTGGAGTGCCGATTGGACTCTGATGTCTCTCGGTCGAGTCGAGGGACTCTGATGAGACAAAAGTGAATCTCTATTAGTTGGATGGACTTCCATAAATCGGACGATCGATTGGAAGGCGTCTACTACTCAATTACATCAAAGCAACGTCTACTTCCATTTGCTTTGTCGCTGGTGGAATTCTTGAGCTTTGGTGTACGATGAGTTGGTGAATCCTATGGATAGCATCGATGCTGATCTCTACTGAAAACAGCTGATGAGAGTTAGTGACTCATTGAAGCAATTGGGCTTAGGCCTTAGGCCAATTTCCCAGTGGGAATTTTCTCCCAGACAAAGGAAATGGTTGTCGATTGTGCTGTCAATCAACATCAAACATTTCGGCAAGCTCGCGAGTCGTGAGTAAAGTTGACGTCAATTTCAATGCAAAATTCAAAACGCGCCATATTTTTCAAAAGAAAATGAACCTGTTTCAGAAAATTATCATAACTTGCACACCAGTTTTCAGCCAGCGAGAAACGCATTTGCGCCTAACACCTAGCGCCTAACGCCAAACGACTAATGCCTAATGCCTAAGCCTAAGCCTGAGCCTAAGCCTGAGTCTGAGCCTAAGCCTGAGCCAAACGCCAAACGCCTAATGCCTAATGCCTAACACCTAATGCCTAATGCCTAACGCCAAACGCCTAACGCCAAACGCCTAACAGCCACCTAAAAACAAAGCCCTCTACCTTGAGACTTGAGGCTCCGGGACACAACAAACCACGGGTAACATAAAAATCGATTTTCTAAAATTTCTAAAATTAAAACTCTGCTCAATATTCAATCTTCTAGAAAGTTTACATGACATCCAGGATTGCCATTTTTAAAACCTAGAACAGTTTTTGAGCTACAGGTTATTGTGAAATCATCCAGTCCTAAAAGTTACAACCCGAATTTTTCAAATTCAAAGTTCTTCATCATCCAATCTACTAGAAAATTTGCATGACATCCAGGATTTACATTATTCAACTTTAGAAGCCTCAAAGGCTCACGGTGTACGGTAGATTCTTCCAGTCTTTAATTTAGCATATCCGAATTTTTCGAATGCAACTTTTTCATTATCCAATCCTCTAGAGAGTTTATGTGATATCCAGGAGCGTCATTTTTTTCAAATTTAGATGTCCTGCCTACCGTAATCCCAATGATCTTTGCCAGCCCAGCACCGAACTGGGGTCACGGTAGCCGGGACACAACGATCCACGGGTAAATCGATTCTCTAGAAATTACAAATCTAATCAAACTCAGTTTTTCTGTGCTATCCAACTAAGAGAAAGCCAAAGTTTCATCAAAATCTATCTGGAAATAGCCTTGAAATGTGTTCACCCAATTAACTTTTTTTTTGAGTAGACAAATTTTAATGAGACTTTGGCTTTTTCTTAGTTGGATAGCACGTAAAAATTGGGATTGATTAGATTGATCAGATTCTTAGTTTTTAGAGAATTCATTTTAGATCCCTCCCCTCTTTTTCTGGTTTTGCCCCTTGAACCCCAATTTTGTCCAATTTCTAATTAACAGCTATATGCCCTCTTATATACGCCGTCTTCTATACGCCGTCTTTTAAACGCCGTCTTAGATACACTGCCTTAGTTACGTCGTCTTATATACGCCGTCTTATATACGCCGTCTTATATACGCCGTCTTATATACGCAGCCTTATATACGCCGCCTTATATACACCGTCTTTTAAAGATATTCAGCCTTTTAACTGATTTCGTGGCGAATTTCCCCTCAAATGTAAAGATATTGAATCTACTCGAAGTGTAAATTCGTGCTAGTCGAGTTCTCTCAATTGGAAATCCGTATCCAGTGATGGATAAGTTGTGGCAAGAAGGCAAGACGGCAAGAACTTCTTGCCAGGAGGCAAGAACACGGGGAAAGAGCGAACAATTAACTGGACTCAACGTAGAAGAAATGTTGCAGCACAAACGCGCTTTTCGTGCAACAATGATATTAGAACGAGATGGTCTACCCAATCCTAAATCTCCGTCACAAAAAAGCGTTTGGAAGGCGGATTTGGAAATATGGCCGTTGCAGCTGCTGCACAAGGCCGTCTGCGGTCTGCTGCTGCTCGATTCTTCGATTACGGATCCAATTGTGGCCAGGTTTTTGGAAGAAATAGCTTGGGGACGTGTTCAGTCTATTAACTTTTTTTTGAGTAGACAAATTTTCACGAAACTTTGACTTTTTCTTAGTTGGATAGCACGTAAAAATTGGGATTGATTAGATTGATGAAATTCTTAATTTTTCGAAAATCGATTTTAGACCCACAATCTCCATGATATCCTCCTCTGGGACTGTTGTGGCCGAGTGATGCGGCAAATTGCCGAGAAATTTCAACCCCGGCACATCATCGATGTCCGTTCGCTGATCGTTGAACCGTTTCGACTGAGATTGGATCACCAAATCATACAAATCCTCGTCGAAGCCCGGCGTGTCGCTAAAACTATTCCAATCAAAGTACGATAGGGTTTTTCAGTCGTTCTGGAAGGCACACTTTTCTAAAAAGTGCTTTGGATTACTGTAGGCTGATTTTCAAGTCAAGTCGAGCTACCGTAACCCTTGGGGCATTTATCTACCGTATCCCAAGGCTAACAGTAGTCGCAAAGCTGGCATTCTCTAATCTGGAACTCACACAATCTTTTGCAATACATCATCTCGATCGGCGAGTCCGGGGAAGAGGTGAGCCCTTTGCTCTTCCATTCGTCGGCCCTGTGCCGCCAGCAGGTACTCGATGAATTGCTCGGGGGTTTTTGAGAAATTAAGTTTTCGTTTTGAAAACCTTTCAAGCTGGATGTCACACTATTTTCCTAGCCACGTACCGTATCCCATTTACCGTATCCCACCTACCGTATCCCACTTACCGTATCCCACCTACCGTATCCCACTTACCGTATCCCACCTACCGTATCCCACTTACCGTATCCCACCTACCGTATCCCACTTACCGTATCCCACCTACCGTACCGTATCGTCGAGTCAATCAAGTCGAGCTACCGATTTTTAGATCTTTAATTTTTAGTTTCGGTTTTAGGCCGTTAAGACCAATGAAACTTGACGAATGAATAGATGAAAATAGACTGGAAATAGAGGGTAATAGACTGGAAAAATTGGCGGAAAGACGACGCTAGACTACGGTAGACGACGGTAGACTCTCTGAAAATAGATTCCTTTTAAAAAAAGGCGGGCAATGTTTTTGAATTTTTCAAATTTTTTGCCTTTTCTGTAGCCGATTAGAAAGCTTCTCAGTGTTTGAAAAAATAAAAAATTCACCCAGTCATTTATCTTGAAATTTCTTTCTTTTTCGCGACTTCTCCAAACCAATTTGACGCCATTTTTTCGCCAAAATGAAAATTCTTTTTTTCTTATCAGTTTTTGGATTCGAAACTCGACAAATCGTCGACTTTTTTGAGGTCAAATCGAGAATTTTCCCGTTTTCTTGATTTTTTAAGCTGTTTTTTCGTTTCATCGTTTGATTTTTGGCTTTCGGATGGCTTATGGCTTTTGGCTTTTGGCTTGTGGCTTCAGAAACTTGTGGAAACTTGTGGAATCTGATGGAAAAATCAGTTGGTCGAGTTTTTCAGCAAAGCTAAGGCTTTTCTGAAAAAACTGATCAACTAATATATCGAACTGGATGTCACAGAACATTTTCGCGTTTTTAGTTTTTCGAAATCTTTAATTTGTAACAAGTCGAACTACCAAACACCTAATGCCTAACGCCAAACGCCAAACGCCTAACGCCTAATGCCTAACGCCAAACGCCTAACAGCCAACTAAAAACAAAGCCCTCCACCTTGAGACTTGAGGCTCCGGGACACAACAAACCACGGGTAACATAAAAATCGATTTTCTAAAAATTAAAACTCTGCTCAATATTCAAACTTCTAGAAAATTTACATGACATCCAGGATTGCCATTTTTAAAATCTAGAACAGTTTTTGAGCTACAGGGTATTGTAAAATCATCCAGTCCTAAAAGTTACAACCCGAATTTTTCAAATTCAAAGTTCTTCTTTATCCAATCTTCTAGAAATTTTACATGACATCCAGGATTTACATTTTAAAAATCTAGAAGCCTCACAGGCTTTTGGCTTTTGGCTTGTGACTTCAGAAACTTGTGGAATCTTGTGGAAACCTGTGGAATCTGATGGAATCTGATGGAAAAATCAGTTGGTCGAGTTTTTCAGCAAAGCTAAGGCTTTTCTGAAAAAACTGATCAACTAATATATCGAACTGGATGTCACAGAACATTTTCGCTTTTTTAGTTTTTCGAAATCTTTAATTTGTAACAAGTGGAACTACCAGAATTTCCATTGTTCAGTTTCATTTTTTTATTTTCAACTTGAGCACTTTAAATCGATTTTGCACTCAATTCTGGAATGCACTTTTTGTTTTTTACGAATTTCGAGCTTTCAAAAGCCAATTTAGCGAATTTTCGGTTTTTAGTACAAAATTGCGTAACTAATCCAAACTTAGAATTCCCAAAATCGTTCAATCACTTTATTCTCTTCAAAATCAGCTCAAATGACATCCAGGATTTCCCTCAAATTCAAAGAAAAGGCCCAGAAATCGATCGAAAACCCTCAATCTCTTTCCTCCCTTTCCCCAAAGCTTTTCTCCGTCTCGTACTCTCCTCTCATCAATATTTCAGTGAAACCGCTTTCGGAATCTTTCCTCCTGGGAGGCACACTAGCTTCTCTGGCTTTTCTGCGTCTCGTTTCTGATTTTCTCGTTGACCCCTTTCTCTCGATTCCTTTACACTCACTTCTCCCACTCTTACAATGAAATCTCTCGCCGAAAAGCGTTTCGCCGGCCATCCTGGGTCTCAGCACACCTCCTTTTGTCATTCTTTTCCCACTAGCAATTGATTTTTCTCTTCGTCATCTTCGCCTCTTTCAGGACTGGGGCTATTTCTCTCTCCACTCGCTCTCTCCCCAATTCTCTCCAATATTTTCCCGCCTTCTGGATGTCAGCCTATCTCTTGGCGGCCTATCCATCTCACTGAGAGAGTCTCTGTATTTCTCAGTCTTGTACCCACCTCTACTCTGCCTCTGCTCTGCCTCTGCTCTGCCTCTCCCTCCCTCTCCTCCCTCCCCTCCCTCTCCCTTCCCCTGCTGGGTCCTGGCTAGAATTCATGTCTGGCAAGCACGGGACTCTTTTCCGGTTTTCTTCGAATCCATCCCAGTCGAGTCACTCCTTGAAAGGGATTTCCCCTTTCCAGCAGTCAGACCCGGAAAATCAGGCAACAGCTTTCTCGTCCTCTAAACCCATTCAACGTTTCCCCTGCCATCCAGGAAGCCGAATTAATTTCCTTGACAGCATTTTTGAGGGTTTTGTTGCTCTTTCTTCTCACCCGTCCTTTTCTGTCGACAACCGATTTTTCTTAATTCGAGTTATCTTGAGAAATTCGTTTCTAGAACTCTTTTGTGACTTCCAAAATTTTATGTGAGCATAAAATTTTGGCCATTTCGTTTGAAATTTGCTGATAAAACCAGTCAGCTACTAAACCAGCCGAACAGCCACGTCTTTTTTGGCTTTTGCTGTGCGAAAAATCGATCTCCTCTAGTAGGATGACATCCAGATCGGCTAAATTTCTTCAAATTTTCACTTGAATTCAATTAGAGAAATCGGTTTTTCCTTCGAATCGATTTTAGCTCAATTTCTCTTGAATTTCCACAAATTTAAAGAAATTTTCAGAAAAATAAGTTCAAATTGGAAGTCACTGAATGAGAAAAATCAGAAATCTTGATCAAATTTTGCTTTTGAAAAATTTCGCTGATCAGATTTTATGCAAATTTGCTGACCACCAAAATTCGCATTCAAAATATGCATTCTAATTTTGCATTTAAAATTTGCATTTAAAATTTGCATTTAAAATTTGCATTTAAAATTTTGCATTTAAAATTTGCATTCAAAATTTGCAATCAAAATTTGCATTTAAAATTTGCCTTGAAGATTTGCATTCAAATTTTATTGACCACCAAAATTTACAATTAAAATTTGCATTCAGAATTAGCATTTAAAATGGCATTTAAGTTTTCCATTCAGAATTTGCATTTAAAATTTTCATCTAAAATTTGCATTTAAAATTTGCATTCAGAATTTACATTTAAAATTTGCATTCAAAATTTACATTCAAAAATTTCCGTTCAAAATTTGCATTTAAAATTTACAATTAGAATTTGCATTAAAATTTTCCATTAAAATTTTCCATTAAAATTTTCCATTTAAATTTTCCATTTAAATTTTCCATTTAAATTTTCCATTTAAATTTTCCATTTAAATTTTCCATTTAAAATTTGCACTTAAAATTTGCACTTAAAATTTACATTCAAAAATTTGCAATCAAAAATTTGCAATCAAAAATTTGCATTCAAAATTTGCATTCAAAATTTGCATTCAAAATTTGCATTCAAAATTTGCATTCAAAATTTGCATTCAAAATTTGCATTTAAATTTTACTGATCATCAAAATTTGCATTCAAAATTTGCCTTGGAAATTTGCATTGAATTAAGTATTTAGAATAAGCATGTGACATCCAGATCGGGCAAATCTTTAGAAATTTCTGATTTCCGACGAAAACTAATCCATAAAAAAAGGGTCATAAAGGAATTTCAATATTCCAATATGTTAAATGAAATTTAAAATGAATAAATTCGGCCATAAAATCCGGCAGCGGCCATCCCAAGTTTGCTAAAAAAAAAAGATTAAAATCAAAGCCAGCGAAAACGCGAATTTCCGGTCGCTAATCTTTCAATTTTTCAATTTTTCATTTTTTTCTGGTCGAAATTGAGATAAGACTCACAATATTTGCATTCATCGCCCACTCAATTCCCTTTTTTCATTCCTTTTTCTCATTTCCACCCCTCAATTTCCCATTTCTCAGCAAAAATTCTCAAATGTCAACAAAATCTGTTCAAGAAAGAAAGAGCTATTGTTGAAATTCGAACTCTGCCACTTTAAACCTTTTGTTTTTCACGATTTCGACTTTATTTCTTTTTCTAGCTTTAATCTGGAAGTCATTTGAGAAAATGAGTTTTTTAGAATTATGAAAATCAAAAATTTCAATTAATTGCTATTTTGTGCCCGGGCTACCGTAACCCTAAAATGGCGATTTCTAAAGAAATGCCGATTTCATTTTTTAAACTTAACCATATTCTATTGTGACATCCAGCTTGCCGTAATCTGCTTGAAAAAAAGCTAGTTTCCTTTAGTTTTTCGCGTTCTAAGCCCTCGACTCAAATGTTGAGTCAGAGCTGATAATTTTGAGAGAAAAACGACTAGTTTTCGACCTTTTTTCAATTATATTCTCATTAATCTTTCCTTTTTTTTGATAAAATTCACCTTTTTGGTGAAAAATGAGTCATTTTTTTGTGTCAAAGACAAAATAGAAATGACACACAGCCATCGCGTCGGCCTTTGTGGCTTCAGAAGCGCTTTGTTCGCTTTTTTCCAACAGAAATCACCATCCTGGAAGGCACTGGAGTCAAGAAATTCATCAGCTTTTGATTTTGCAAAAAATCTGTCGCCTTCAATTCGAGCGAAGGTAGCTGGACGATTTTCTTCGGCTTTCCGATCAACACCAAACATTTCCGCTTTCTAAACGTCCGTTCTGGAAGGCACTGTGGGTATTGGGCAAAAATTTTCTGGAAAATTCTTGATTCTGAATTTTCCAGCATCTCTACTGCTGTTGTTGAGTCGCTCAATTTGCCCAAATTTCCCAATTCATCCAAATTTCCTCTTTATCCCCGAATTTCCCTTTTGTGCCTTCCAGATCGGCATCCCAATTTCTCATTTCCGCATTTTCTCTGTTAATTCCACCACAAAATGCCTCGAAGTCGGTTTGACGTCAATTAGGTGGGTGAATGGGGAAAAACAAAAAAAAGCAAATGATTTCCCTCTTCTAATAGCGTCAAATTATTCAACGGAAGCCTAAAAATCGTTGTTTTTCCTAGCTCTGATTTCACTTTTGTTTTTTTTGATTCAATTACGCAACCGTTATGAGTTTGGCACGTTTTTGTCGGATTCTAATCGATTTTCAAAATCCTAACTTTTTCAGGTTTCCATCTGGAGCTCACAACAGCTATTGCTGAGCTTAGAAAGTTGAAACAGTTAAATTTAAATTTTTTTCTCAACCGTTATGAGTTTGGCAGGTTTTTGCCGGATTCTGATTGGTTTTCGAAATTCTAACTTTTTCAGGCTTCTATCTGGAGCTCACAGCAGCTATTGCGGAGCTTAAAAAGTTAAAATAATTAAATTAAAAATTTTTTTTTTAACGTTATCAGTTTGACACTTTTGTGCCGGATTCTGATCGATTTTCGAAATTCTAACTTTTTCATGCTTCCATCTGGAGCTCACAGCAGCTATTACTGAGCTTAAAAAGTTAAAACGGATAATTATAAATTTTACAGTAACCTAAAGATATTCAGCTATTAGACTGTAAATTCATTTTTCCCCAAAAACCTCTAGCAAAAAATTGTCACCAAAATTTGCCCAAATCATTTTTAAACCCAACCAGATGCTAGTGTGAGCTCCAGAATCGGCAAAAAGTCAAAAAATTTATCGATTCAATGCCCTGCCTTGATGTTAAGCACTCGGTCAATTACCCAACTCATCCCAGGTTTCCAAATTTGGTTTAAATGGTTTAAACCATTTGGAAATCTGCCCAACTTCTGTTGTGCCCTCCAGCTAGCAGAAAGATAAATGGAGAACCCAAATTTCCAGAGCAGATTCTCATCATTTTCGCATCTGCTTCAACAATTGTGCAAGATTGGGTAAAATTGCCGAAAACGGTTGGTCAAAAAGAAAAGTTGAGCGCTTTTTTTTCGCTTCTGGAACGCACAATGGCTACTTGGCGGTGTTCGAGACAAAAAAAGGGTGGTTTCGAAATTCCTCAACATTCGCGAGAATTCAAAAGGCGCCCCGAGTGGGTCATTCTTTTGAAAGCCAAAAACAATTCTCCTTTTCAACGATTTTCAGGCGTTGTGACATCCAGAAAGAGCCCCAGCATGGCCATTGACTGGCCATCGCCGTCGAAAAAGCGCCAGTGGTGTCAGAGTTCTTCGCTCGGATTTCCCGAATTTTAATCTAGCCAGTTTTCTCGGATTTTCTTTCAGCATTTTTTTTTGTGACTTCCAGGATTTCATTATTATTGATAATTTCGTCAAATTTACACCGGAAAATCGCTTTTTCCAGCCTGCTCTCTTTTCCTATCAAAAAACTCGAAATTTTACAAAAAAAAATCCAAAATCGTTTTCGATTCGTTTATCCCGGAGGTCACTGGTTCTTATGGCATTGAAATGAAATTTGAAAATCGTTTTTGAAACTCTTGAAATTCTTGAAAAATTTCATCAATTTCTCTCAACAACTTTTCATTTGATCCAAAAAAATTGGACTTTTCCTCCTTCTTTTTTCTTCTAATCACGTTGTTTACCACCTGACTCCGCTTTTTATTTTCAATTTTATTCTTTTCATATCGCTTTGGGGCGTGTTTCTTCAAAATGCATCGTGTTTTCGCAAACATTCATGAGTTTGACACTGTTGTGCCGGGTTCTGATCGATTTTCGAAATTCTAACTTTTACAAGCTTCCATCTGGAGCTCACAGCAGCTATTAATAAGCTTAGAAAGTTAAAACAGTTAAATTAAAAATTTTTCTTTACCATTAGGAGTTTGGCACCTTTTTGTCGGCTTCTGATCGATTTTCGAAATTCTAACTTTTCCAGACTTCCATCTGGAGCTCACAGCAGCTATTAATAAGCTTAAAAAGTTAAAACAATTAAATTTAAAATTTTTCTCAACCGTGATGAGTTTGGCACGTTCTTGCGCGGATTCTGATTGGTTTTTGAAATTCTAACTTTTTCAGGCTTCCATCTGGAGCTCACAGCAGCTATTACTGAGCTTAAAAAGTTAAAACGGTTAAATTCAAAATTTTACAGTAACCTAAAGATATTCAGCTATTAGACTGTAAATTCATTTTTTGCATTTTATTGAAATTTCGTTTTTTTTGTTTTTTTTTTACTTTTACTTGTTTTTTGCGTTCCAGAACCACCAGAAATTGTAAAATTCTGAATTTCAGATAAATTTCGTGTTATTTGGAGTGAAGTGATATTTGGAGGCGCTCCAAAAAACAAAAACTGACACCCGAGACAAAAGTGGGATGAGCGTTGGCCTCAAGGATTTGAAACCAAAAACCCCAAGGACGAACAGAGCCTCGTGAGTCTTTGAGGGCACCTTTCATTGAAGAGATTTTCGGAAAACAACCTAGAAATAGCGCCCTAGTGGCGGAACTGAGAGCCGAATTTTACCCGTTGACTTTTTTGGGTTTAACTTTATTTAAAGCTTTAAATTTTATCGGAAACTGGTGAACTGGATAGCACAGCGGTTATTAAAATCAAAAAAATGATTCTTCGCAAAGAAATTTGTCAGTTGGTTTTTGGTGGGATCGAGTTCGAGGCGCTACCATGCGATCCATACCAAAAATTCCCCACAAATTCTATTGCGTTCTCGATTCTGGATGTCATTCAATCGTTTTCAGAGTTTTCAGACTTTTCAGCGTTTTCAGAACAAATTTTCAAAATCCAGACTGAAAACCTTGAGTCAGAGCTGACTCAACTTTTGAATCACGATTTGCGTCAATTCAAGCCAATTCGACTTTCCCATTCCCCCTCGTGACCTCCAGGATTTCCATTTTTCCTCAAAACAAACCGAAATTGTTTAATGAATTTTTGCAAAAACGGCTGAAGTCGAAAATGATTCAACTCTGAACTTTTGGCCGAATAATCTCGGGAAAAATTGCAAATCAAAATTAGCCAAATTGTTTGTCACGGGAGGGAAATGAGTCAGCATTTGGATTCGATTTGATGGGGGAAACTGGGAATGGGAAATGCGTAGATGTTTCCCTAGAAACGGCCAAAATGTCAGCAAAAAGTCCCCAAAAAACCAGAATCGAAGAATTGAAGAAATTCTGAAATTTTTCCCGCCAAATGACAGAATGACATCCAGAATTAAGGATGCGATGAAATTTAGGGTGCATTTTAGCAACGACAGCTTTTGTATGGCGTCGAAGTCTAACGCCCGAAAAGTGAATGCAGAGAATTAGCGGAGTTTGTGCAAATTCCGAATGGAAACGACAGAATGACATCCAGAATTGAGAATGCGATGAAATTTGGGACACGTTTTAGCAAGGACAGCTCTAATAGCGGGTGAACTCGAACGCCAAAAACCAACTTCGAAAAATCGCCGTAAACTAGGGTTTTTTTCGTTTCAAAATTCGTTCTGACATCCAGAATTGAGAATGCGATGAGATTTAGGGCAGGTTCTAGAAAAAAACAGCTCTAATAGCGCGTGAACTCCAACGCCAAAAGCCAACTTCGAAAAATCGCCGTAAACTAGAGTTTTTTTTGGTTTCAAAATCCGTTCTGACATCCAGATCGACCGTTTCCGATGAGATTTTCAAATTTTAATTAAATTAATTGAAGAAAAATGCAAGGATAAGGCTTAAGCATTAAATTTGTTGTTTTCCATGAATTTTCCTTGAATTTCCTTATCCGGATCATCTAGCTACACCGCTTTTTTCTTGGATTTATCCGAGAATCCATTTTAATTGAAATTTTGAAGACCTTGAAAAAGAAAAAAGGGTTTCTCAGCATTGACGCATTTTAGGGATTTTGACGAAGCTGAAAAATGAGATTTGAAAGGCGTATCCAGCTGGATTACGGTATTCAGTGGATTACGGTATCCAGCTGGATTACGGTATTCATTCAGGCTAGATTGGGTATTCAGTCTAGATCAGCTGGATTACGGTATTTAGTCTAGAATCAAATTTTGAAGAGCGGATAATTTTTAGATGATGAAAACAGTAGTGTGACTTCCAGAAGGCAGAAAAATCGAGAAGAAAAGTTTTTTTGATTTTCGGAGAAACGAAAAAAATCGTAGAAAGGATGCCAAGGGTCATCGAGTTGAAAAACAGTAGTCAAGTAGCCATTCATTGATCCAAGAATCTCTCGTGACTTCCAGAACTCCCAGAACTCAAATCCTTATTTCAGCCGAGAGGTCGTGGTGGCCGAGAGGTCGTGGTCGTGGTGCGGCCAATTCTGCATCGCTCAACATTGACTCGTCAACAGCAGAGTTGCTCCGTCGACTCCACTGAACACAAAAATTAGTGAGTTGCCTGCCAGCTTGGAGATAAATCGCCGTTTTGATGTTTTGTTTTTGAGGAATTTCAAAAAAATTGAGTCCAAGTCTGAGGCGCCGAAGTTGCTGGGAATTTAAATGCAAATTTCAAGGAAACTATTAAGCACAAATTTTCTAGTGACATCCAGATCGCTCAAAAATCCCTTTTTCAGAAGAGGCCACCTCGTGTGACTGTGTTTATTTGAGGCCTCCCTGATTTCCCTTCTGCCGAATAGGCCTATATTCAAATTTCTTCACACTCAACTACATAACTTTACGGTTACTCGCCCGCAGCTTCTCAAAGGACCGAAAAGAATCGAGGTGAGTTCCAGATTGAGCAGATCAACTCTTAGTTTCTATCTCTTAACGAAAAACAAGTCGCAAAACGTCATTAGAACATTCGTGTACTCAAGAAAACCTAGAATCGCTGTAAGTGGCCATTTTTCGTTTTCAATCAATGTTGTGACTTCCAGATTGAGCAGATCAACTCTTAGCTTTTAGCCTCTATCTAAAAATAAGTAGCAAAACGGCATTAGACCATTCGTGTACTCAAGAAAACCTAGAATCGCTGCATTTTTCGTTTTCAATCGAGGTTGTGACTTCCAGATTGAGCAGATCAACTCTTAGTTCTTAGCTTTTACTCAAAAACAAGTCGCAAAACCTCATTAGAGCATTCGTGTACTCGAGAAAACCGAGAATCACTCCAAGTGTCCATTTTTTGTTTTCAATCGATGTTGTGACTTCCAGATCGAACAGATCAACTCTTAGCTTTTAGCCTCTATCTAAAAATAAGTAGCAAAACGTCATTAGTGCATTCGTGTACTCAAGAAAACCTAGAATCGCTGCAAGTGGCCATTTTTCGTTTTCAATCGATGTTGTGACTTCCAGATCGAACAGATCGCCTTTTAGCTTTTAGCTTTTCCTCAAAAACAAGTCCCAAAACGTCATTGGCTTGTTTATGTACTCGAAAAAACCAAGCAAACCAACCAACCAGAAAAAAAGCAAGTGTCCATTTTTCTTTTTCAATGGATATTGTGACTTCCAACATCGATAGATCAGATGTTTTTTTCAAGCTTTCGCCTCATAAATAAATCACAAAACGTCATTTGATCGTTTTGTGTACTCGAGAAAACCTGGATCGCGTGTTTCGAATAGAAATTTTCGAGCTCACGCCAGAAATGGCAAAAAGATATTTACGATTGTACCGCAAACTCGCATTTTTTTCGCTTTCTCATGAATTTTATCACGCGGAAACATGGAGGAAAACATGAAAAGGGAAAATAACATCTGAAATTTGTGGGACTGGTCGAATATTTCGTAAACGCACCTGATCTGGCGCACCAAAATAGAATTTTCTTTAGTTCTGGAACACACTTGAATGTTGTATAAAGTTCTAAGCCCTTTTCTCTAATGTTTAAATTTTCAGAAATCTAGATTTAGGACTGGACGAATATTTCGTAAACGCACGTGATCTAGCGCACCAAAATAGAATTTTCTTTAGTTCTGGAACACACTTGAATGTTTTGTAAAGTTCTAAGCCCTTTTCTCTAATGTCTAAAATTTTCAGAAATCTAGACCGCTAGATTTAGGACTGGTTGAATATTTCGTAAACGCATTTGATCTGGCGCACCAAATTTGACTTTTCTTTAGTTCTGGAACACACTTGAATGTTGTATAAAGTTAAAGCTCATTTCTCTAATGTTTAAATTTTCAGAAATCTAGACCACTAGATTTAGGACTGGTCAAATATTTCGTAAACGCAAGTGATCTAGCGCACCAAAATCGAATTTTCTTTAGTTCTGGAGCGCATTCAACTGCTTTAGAAAAGCCAAACCATAGTTCGCTGAAATTAAAAATTTTAAGGCCCTGAGCCTGGAAAAAATTAAATTCGCATTTAATGGGAGAATAATTTTTGCATAATGTTCTGTGACATCCAGATCGGGGAAAAACCTTCAAAAGTTTTGATTTCAGATGGGCACCGCGACGAAACGAGCACAAACTGGCTCGCCCACCTACTTCAAGCCGGCCCCATCCGAGATCAACTACGGGAAGATGCGTTTCCTCATCACCGATCGCCCCTCTGACGCCACGATCAACAATTTCATTGAGGTGAGTGCCAAAGGTTGGCCAACGCGGAGTTGTTGTCAAACTCGACTCGACCGGTTCGTGTCGGAGCTGATTTCTTGGCTTTTTTTGGGCCAGAATAAGTTTTTCTTGAAAATTTGGGCATTCTGGAACGCACGAAAGGTAGTCTCAGTTTTAGAAAGTTTATGTTTCGACAATTTTAGTTCGGTCAAGCACTGGTTCGAGTCGAAGCCGATTTCTTGGACCGGTTTTGGCCAAAATTAATTTTTCTTGAAAATTTGGGCATTCTGGAACGCACGAAAGGGTTTAAATCCAGAAAAAAACGTTGTTTTCAAAAATTCGAAGGTTGAGTTTTATGATTCAAGATCTTGAGAGTTTTTCGGTGAGGAACTGCTCAAAAATTGGCCATTTGCCCAAGGAACGGGTTTTTGGATGTCACGAAAGTGGCAAAAGGAAAAAAAAGAGGCGAAAATTTGGTTTCTAGCCAACTTGACTTTCGATGACGTCATTAATAATTTTGATGACGTCATAAGAAATTTCACTGAGAATTTTTTTTTGAAACCAACGCTTTTTTCTAATTCTAAACCCTTTTGTGCGCTCCAGGATGCCCAAATTTTCAAGAAAAACTTATTTTGGCCAAAACCAGTCCAAGAAATCAGCTCCGACTCGAACCAGTGCTTGACCGAACTAAAATTGTCGAAACATGATCTTTCTAAAATTGAGACTACCTTTCGTGCGCTCCAGGATGCTCAAATCTTCAAGAAAAACTTATTTTGACCCAAAAAAAGCCAAGAAATCAGCTCCGACACGAACCGGTCGAGTCGAGCCTCACAAAAACATTCCATGAACTCCGCATTGACCACCGAACAGCTTGTGATTGCTTTTTTGAACGAAAGAAACGTTTTCCCTGGCACCTGACACTTAATCGAGTTGGGGCAGAGATCGGGGAGAGGGGGAAAGGAGGAGAAGGGCTCATGTGCTTCTCCGATCTTGAGGCAAAAAGTGAATCACCTGTAAACGCTTGAAAAACGGGTTCAGTGACGTTCAAAAGTTGTTGTGACATCCAGCTTGAACAAATCAAAAATCAAAAATTCGATAGCTTGTAAAGAAACGGATTTCAAGCAATGCAAAAATTCGTAGCTCTAGCTAAACTTCAAAAAGTGACAAAAAAGTGAATTCAAGAATTCGAAAATTCGTAGTGACATCCAGATTGGTTGAATTTAGTTTTAAAAACTCTAGTTCTGACAAAAATAAAGTTTTTGACGCGTGGTGAATTTCTATAAGATTGATTTGTTCAAATTAGAAGAAAAAGGAAAATTAACGAATTCAATCTTCCTCGTGACATCCAGATCGCTGAAAAACTCGAATTTCAGGAGCTCGAGAAGCACAAGGCGTGCGCAGTTGTGCGGGTATGCGAGCCGTCGTACGAGGTGACCCCGTTGAAGACGCATGGCATCGATGTGCTCGACTGGGAGTTTAATGACGGATCCCCGCCACCACCAGAGGTTTGAGAAAGGATTTGAGACGGGCAAAGTGGCGAGAAAAGTCGCTCTTCTTTGTGCTCTTGTAAACACACGATTTCTAGTGCATATAAACCTCTGTACTACAGCGTCAAAATTTCAAATCGATTTTTCTCGGCTCTCATTCAAGATTTCTAAAACAGCCAAAACAAAAGTTCTAAGCTGGAATGCAACTTAGAATTTCCTCGAAAGAAAAACCCGAGTTTTGAGAATTTTTCGAAAATCCAGTTTAATCACAAAATTTCAACTCGATTTTTCTCGCCTCTCGTTCAAGATTTCAAAAACAGCCAAAACAAAAGTTCTAAGCTGGAAGGCAACTTAGAATTTAGTCAAAAGAAAAGCTCGAGTTTTGAGATTTTTCCGAAAATCCATTTTGGTTAGGGAATTTCAACTCGATTTTTCTCGGCTCTCGTTCAAGATTTCAAAAACAGTCAAAACAAAAGTTCTAAGCTGGAAGGCAACTTAGAATTTACTCAAAAGAAAAACTTGAGTTTTGAGAATTTTTCAAAAAGTGGGTAAATCCACAATATTTTTCGCTCTTTGCCCTTCGTGAGCTCCAGGATTAACAAATTTATGGAATTTCCAATCAAAAGCTGATTTTCCATTCCTGTGCGTTCCAGGAAAGCCAAATCTCACGAGAAATTTCGAATCTGATTTTTTAGAACTTTTGAAAAAGCGCCAAACTTGATCTCAAAACAAAAAAATCCATCAATTTCAATTTTCTTTTGTTTAGGTGATTCAAAAATGGCTAAACCTTGCCAAGCAACTCTTCCGCGATCAGCCTGATGCGTGCATCGCTGTGCACTGTGTCGCCGGGCTGGGAAGGGCGCCGGTTTTGGTGGCATTGGCGCTGATCGAGGCTGGGATGAAGTACGAGGATGCGGTCGAGTTGATCAGAACGTGAGTTTGAAAAGTTTTCAATTTCTAGTTAGCTTAAGTGTGCTCCAGATTTTATGAATTTAAAATTAGAAAAACTTAAAACTTTCATTTTCGAGTCTAAAATTGAAGCAACTCGTTTCGGCCAAAACCAACTGCGTCCTTTTTGAAGTTTAAAGGTTAAAATTGAGAAATCTAGGCAAGATGAGTTCCAGAACTAGCAAAAACAACAAAGAATTTGTCTTTCGATCAAACCCAAACGATTTTTCTTGACCAACTCATTTCAGGCAACGCCGCGGCGCGCTCAACCAGAAGCAGTTGACCTTCCTCGAGAAATATAAACCGTCCGGCGAGCTGCGAAAGCTCCGATACACCGTCGACGGAAAGCACAAAGCGTGTTGCATTCAGTGAACTCTTAAAATGCGCAGCACCAAGAACATTCGGCTCGACTCGCTTTCAGGCTTTCATCCGAAATGAAAGCGAGTCAATTTGACCCAAAAAAACTCGCGTTTCCCTCAAATTTTCTTGGAAATTCGTTAATCCTGGATATCACAGCGTCACGAAATTCAAAAAATTTCGCTTAAATTTCATTTTAAATTTTCTCCAATCACCCAGTCCAGTCTAAAAGTTGACTTTTTCAAATGCTACCGTATCCCGAAAATTTGAGGTGAATCGTGTGTCGTGGAGTCCAATTCGCCCATTTAGGCTCATCATTTTTCAATTCTCGCGATTTAATCCCGAAAATTCTTTGTCATCTCGTTTTTTCGTTTTTTTTTTTTGGTTTTTTCTTTTTTTCGCCCAAGTTTCCCTGTGATTTTCGCTACTTCACCTTCATCTTTTCACTCTTTTCTGTCTAGTTTACTGTAGTCGTATGCAAATTTGGATTTAAATCGATTTAAATGCAAATCTCTTCTCTTCGACTTGCTCCTTTTTCTCATATCAAATTCGAACAATGATTTAAATATTTAAAAAATTTGCATTTTACAGAAAAACTTGAAAACGGTGACTTTTTTTATACACTATGAGCTCCAGTTTGTCAATAAACAATGAAAATTTTGCATTTTGCGAAAAATCAGCCAAGAAAATCAAGTGAACACGATTCACGACAAATTATCCCATAAATAAACTACAGTACTCCTTTTTTATTGCCTCAAGGTCAATCCTGGATGTCACAGTGTAAAACTAGATGCTGAAAAACTTGCTAGCTATAGTCTGAAAAACTACCGTACCCAATCCGAGCACTTTTTAGAAAACAGGCCTTGAACGGAAAAGGACTGGGAGTTTTTAAACGGTAAAAATAACGATTTATTAGCAGATATTAGCAGAATTGGTAAATCTGGATGTCACGTAATTGTTTTCTAATTGATTCAAGTGCTCAATACCCAGTTCGGGCACGTCTTAGAAAACGGAAAAGGACTGGGAGTTTTTAAACGGTAAGAACAACGTTTTAATAGCGGATATTGACAGAATTGGTAAATCTGGATGTCACAGTGTAAAACTAGATGCTGAAAAACTTGCTAGCTATAGTTTGAAAAACTACCGTACCCAATCCGAGCACTTTTTAGAAAACAGGCGTTGAACGGAAAAGGACTGGGGGTTTTTAACCGTAAAAATAACGATTTATTAGCAGATAATGACAGAATTGGTAAATCTGGATGTCACGTAATTGTTTTCTAATTGATTCAAGTGCTCAATACCCAGTTCAGACCATTTTTAAAAAACGGAAAGGGACTGGGAGTTTTTAAACGGTAAAAATAACGATTTATTAGCAGATATTAGCGGAATTGGTAAATCTGGATGTCACGCGATTGTTTCCTAATTGATTTCAGTGCCCAATCAGTGTCCTTCCCAAAAATTGTTCGTGTCATTGAACATATTCGAGTCATCCGGCATCGTGTCGTCATCTAGAAAGCCGATTTTCTTCATTCAGCTTACGGTGTGACATCCAGGATTTGGGAATTTGAGAAAATTTTGCTTCTTTTTCCACTCACGTGTTCCATTTCCGCTCGAGGTCCCGTTTCCGCCTCGTGTGTGATTTTTCGGGTGTCTACCCATGATCGTCGCCGATTGGATTCGAGCGGCAAAGTCGGCCAATTGATTTTTCAGCGTTCTTGCCAAGGCGTCTAAAATTTGGCTCAATATTTTGTGGAATTTTGCTTATCTCAAAGTCAAAATATTCAGTTAAGTGGCTGATTTATAAAATCAAAAATTTTTCACACCAAACTCCCAATTTTTTACGCTTAAAAGATGTTGTGACATCCAGAACTGAAACTCCATTATTTAGTTTTTAAAAATTTTTCGATCTCGATGATATTTTAGCGTGGTCTTGTGGCGGTCTCTCCCTTGAACGAAAATCAATGATCCTTTGGCTCAAAAAACCGTTCCCGACTCTTTTTAAGCCGAAACTAATGACCCTGAATCACATTTGGGGGAAATGAGGAAAAAGGAAAGTGGCAGAGTACAGTGTTGTAGCCGATCAGCGAAGCGACCAAAAAGCTTGCTTTATTTTTTAGATTTGTGAAATTGAATCAACTATTTCCCCATTCTGGATGTCACAAGAGAATTTGGTGTTAAAATTTTCGAGAAAGATCTCAGTGAAGAAAAAAAATTGCTCGACTCGACTTTCAATCGATTTCTCAAGATTTCCTGACGCCAATAGGCTTATTTTTCAATTTTCCGGGCCTTCTGGAGGTCATTTGTATAGGAAATGTTGAAATTTTTGAATTTTAACGAAATTTAAGAGAAAAAAGCACTCACAGACTCCTTTCTTGAAGACTTCGGCGTTGACATTGCTCATTTTTGCATGCTCTTTAAGGCCTTGATAGATGCAATCGATGAACTGGAAGTCACGAGAGATTTTGGGAAAGGTTAGACCAAGAAATCTCTGTTTTTGATTTTCGTCAAAAAAATTTGCATACGAATTTTCAAATTAAATGCAAATTTCCGAATTAAATGCATTAAATTTCCATTAAATGCAAATTTCTATTTTAAATGTAAATTTCAGATTTAAATGTAAATTTCAGATTTAAATGTAAATTTCCGAATTAAATGTAAATTTGCGAATTAAATGCAAATTCTCTATTAAATGCAAATTTGCGAATTAAATGCAAATTTAGAATTAAATGCATTAAATTTCCATTAAGTGCAAATTTTTATTTTAAATGTAAATTTCAGATTTATATGCAAATTTCCCTTTAAATGCAAATTTCCGAATTAAATGCAAATTTCCAAATTAAATTCAAATTTTACCCAAATGAGTTTCTGATTCGATTTTCTAGTCCTGTGCCTGCCATAGTTAGCCATTTTAAAAGCCAAACCCAATCATTACCTGAATTGACATATTTTTCCCGTAGTCAAGCGAATACTGGAGCTGATCTTTCATTCTTGACGCCGCATTGGCTACATCCCTCAAAAAAAATCGTTTGTATAACGGTTATTTAACGACTAATTGGCTTTTTTCCCCTCAAATCTCGTAAACGTATCCCTTCTGGTGCACAAAAAGCTTCAATTTCCTTGAAACAATGATTCGATGCTTCGAGAAAAGTGAAAAATTCAATGCACTGGATTTCTGACGTTTGCAAGAGTCGAGAGAAAAAAGTACACAGTGCAAACGTCGATCTGGAACGCACTGTGCCGTGTATTGTGGATAACCAGCGCCGTAATAGCCCCCACTCGTCGACACTTCATCAGTGTTGCTGTTGACGGAGTAGTCGCTCATGGAGTAGTCGCTATTTCCAGTCTGAAAACGTTATCTAGATAATAAGCGACTCTGGATGTCATGTAACGCAAAAAAAGTGAAATCGTAGCTTTTTCTGTTAACTGAATATCTATTCCTTAAAATAAAGATATTCAGCTAACGAGAAAAATTAACATTTAAAATTCTTGGCATAAAATTAACATTTTAAACCTAACAAAACCAAGTGTGACATCCAGTTTGCATAAAAAAATAAAGATTTCAACTCACATTGCAACTCACGACCTGCACCGTGGCGCCAACGATAAAGAGAATCTCGAAAAATTTAAACATCTTTGCCTAGTCAGAGAAAACGCGGAAACACTCTACTGCCACCCAGAATCAACGATCCGATTGGAAAAGTTGAGCTTTTATGAGGTTTTCAGCGATCAAAACGGTCAGCCCTCCAATTAGCGGTGAGGCTCTCGAAAATGGATGGTTCAAAAAGGGTTCACAAAATGAGTTTTGTACTAGAGGCCTTGATGATGGTGATGATGGTGATTTGATGAGTGAATCATGCGGGGATTTTCGCTTTTTGCTTACAAAGTTCACGAGGTGGGTGGATGCGGGAGGTGCAGAAGCTCATAAATCCATTTTCGAGTTGGAAATCGATCTGATTCATGATTAGTGTTGAAGGAATGATCATTGGGTTGGGTTGGGTTGGGTTGAGAAGCCCATTAGGGGCCATTAGAAGGGCCCATTAGATTGGGAAGAAAGTTTGCACAGTGATTTCTCAAAAAGCAACCCATCAATTCTTTCCAGATTTCTTGATAGACAATACCGGCTTTTCTCTAATAGTAGTGTACCCCGGTGAGCCGAGTTAGTGACTATTTTAGTTTCTAAGCTTTAGCAGAAGCTCAACACTCTAATCTCCCACTAGATCTCATTATCAGCTACATTTTCCGACCCCACATCTATAGGCTTTGATAAGGAATAGACCCTAGGATCTCTTGGATCTGTCTCCTGGTCTCCTGGTCTCCTGGATCCTCTAGGGTCCATTGAATCACTCTAGCTAGGCTGATTAGCTTATTGTTAGGTTTTTCGCTTTGCTATCTGGACCATCTGAGCTTTCCGGGTTTTTGAGATTCTTTAGGATCTTCAGGACCTTTAGGATCTTTAAAATCTTTAGAGCAATTGCAATTGAGGACGATGCAAGAGAGATTTTACGTTGTTAATTGGATATCCCGTATTTTCTCTAATAGTAGTGCCCCGGGGTCGAGCCGAGCTGAGGCCTATTTTACGGTTTCCAAGCTCTTGCAGAAGCACAACACTCTAATCTCCCGCTAGATCGCATCGTCGGCTACATTTTCCGACCCAACATCTATAGGTTCTGATAAGCGGTTTTTGAGATTTCAAGGAGTTTAGACGACGCTCAGACTGCTATTAGAGAAAATACGGTAGCTTAGATAAGTTCGTAGAAAAGATCTAGATTAAATCACAAGCTCTAGATTTCAGGAGGGCAACTTTTCACGGCCTGCAGTTGGCTCATCGCCTTGGCCAAGCCATTGGCTCGTCACCCTGGCCAAGCCAATGGCTCATCGCCTTGCCCAAGCCATTGGCTCGTCACCCTGGCCAAGCCAATGGCTCGTCGGCTTGCCCAAGCCAATGGCTCGTCGGCTTGCCCAAGCCATTGGCTCGTCACCCTGGCCAAGCCAATGGCTCATCGCCTTGCCCAAGCCATTGGCTCGTCACCCTGGCCAAGCCAATGGCTCGTCGGCTTGCCCAAGCCATTGGCTCGTCACCCTGGCCAAGCCAATGGCTCATCGCCTTGCCCAAGCCATTGGCTCGTCACCCTGGCCAAGCCAATGGCTCGTCGGCTTGCCCAAGCCAATGGCTCGTCGGCTTGCCCAAGCCATTGGCTCGTCACCCTGGCCAAGCCAATGGCTCATCGCCTTGCCCAAGCCATTGGCTCGTCACCCTGGCCAAGCCAATGGCTCGTCGGCTTGCCCAAGCCAATGGCTCGTCACCCTGGCCAAGCCAATGGCTCATCGCCTTGGCCAAGCCATTGGCTCGTCACCCTGGCCAAGCCATTGGCTCGTCGCCTTGCCCAAGCCATTGGCTCGTCGCTTTGCCCAAGCCAATGGCTCGTCGGCTTGCCCAAGCCATTGGATCGTCGCCTTGCCCAAGCCAATGGCTCATCGGCTAGCTACAGTAGTTTTTAAAGCTCCGAAAAGTACCGAAAGGAATATACAAAATGGACAAAAAGATACAAATAAAAGCTTTTCAAAAAAACTCGACTTTTTCGGATTATGAGAAGATCGATTTTATATTTATTCCATTTTTTTCCCCAATTTCATTTATTCTTTATTTGCATTTGTTTCCAAGAAAGATTCTATTTCCAAATCGAGAAAGCATTCGAATTGTTGAATATCAAGTGATTTTGTTGATACTTTTCGAATAAATATTCGCTCGTTTCATCGCCGATCATTTCCATGATTGTCTCTTTGACGAATTGTCGACGATTTTTCTCGTTTTGTCGATCGTTTCGCGAGAAAACCTCTATCTAAATGTTTTGTTTGTTTTATTGATGATTGAATTGATGATTGGATTGATGGCTAAATGAATTGATCATTAAATTGATCATTAAATTAATGATTAAATGAATTCGACTACTTTAAACAACTTTAAACCTAGATAAATAGGCAAGCTTGGCTAGGATTTAACTCCAAGAACGAGAGCTCTTTGAATTGTCCCGGAATTGTCTCGGGATTGTCCCTGCAGTGTCCCGGGATTGTCCCAAATTGTCCCAAATTATCCCAAAATTATCCCGGATCCTTTTTTTGATAGATTTATTCTTTTATCTCGTTCTTTTTCTTACTTATGACTGAGATTCCTTTTTATTCGCCTTTTATTTCAAGATCGCAACCCGCCAATCACAATTGGAAAGCGACCAGGCTTAGGCTTAGGCTTGGACTATCCAGCCCGGAACACCCTATCAATAAATCAATTTATCCTAGATCCCTGCTTCGGCTTGGGCTTAGAGGAGTCTAAGCCTGAGTCCAAGCGACCAGCCAACTCTCCAGCGACCAGCCAACTCTCAAGCGGCCAGCCAACCCTCAAGCAACCAGCCAGCTCTCAAGCGACCAGCCAACTCTCAAGCAACCAGCCAACTCTCCAGCGACCAGCCAACTCTCAAGCGACCAGCCAGCTCTCCAGCGACCAGCCAGCTCTCAAGCAACCAGCCAACTCTCAAGCGGCAAGCGACAAGCCAACTTGGTGATGGAGATTTTTCGGCTTTTCTATGATCGCTTCGAATTTTCTCAGATTTAGAACGCATGCAAAGCCGCTCTGATGAAATTTGACCGGAGAACGAGATGAGGGAACTGTGAAACTGTGAAAGGCCATCATTTTTATCATTTTTAGTGTTCTTGTCTATTATAAAACCTATATATAATACGGTAGCTGACTCAAAATCGAGTGTTAGATTGTGACAATCTGACAGTTACGCAGGAAGCTAGGCAGCTAGTTAGAGAGCAAGTTAGGGAGCTAGTTAGGCAGCTAGTTAAGGAGCTAGTTAGAGAGCTAGTTAGGGAGCAAGTTAGAGAGCTAGTTAGAGAGCTAGTTAGGGAGCTAGTTACGCAGTAAGTTAGGCAGCAAGTTAGGCAGCAAGCTCCCCAGCAAGCTACCCAGCAAGCTCCCCAGCAAGCTACCCAGCTAGCCACCCAGCAAGCCACCCAGCAAGCTCCCCAGCAAGCTCCCCATCAAGCTACCCAGCAAGTCACTTAGCAGTTGTTCTTTGTAGTGTCGATGTCTAGATGATCGACGCTTGAAACTAGACTCCTCGATCGATTTGAATTGGATTTTTAGTCTTTTTTTAGATTTGAATTGGATTTTTTCCATTTTCTTGTACAATTTTGCATTCCCCAATCATTTCACTCACTCTTTCAACGAAATGTTTAGCTGTTGCCTTGTTTAGAAAGGCTTTCCACGCCTCATCAACATACGAATCGTTGGAATGATGCTGAAATTGTTGTTGTTAAATTCAAATTGCTAAAATGCTTTTCGTTTTTCATCAAAACTTTCTCTAAAACGAACCAAGATGAGAACAAAATTGGCGAAAAAATCAAAAAGAAGATTGCAAATTTGTGGCTCTTTATAGTGTTGAGCTAGAGAAAGGAAAAGAAGCGAAGTTGTCGTTTGAGCCTTTATTTTTGAGAGCATCGAATTTTTTGATATCTGAATTTTTTGAAATCTGAATTTTTTGATATATAAAAATTGAAATAACGTTTAAAATTTTAAAATTGAAATTTTTGGACTTACAATTGGCAAAAGAATCCTCAACATTTGAGCAATTTTCAGCACCGTTTGTGACTCTTGAATATGCAGAGAAAAGAGGAGAAATGGCAGCGACTTTTCGACCTCAAAACCATCATTTTCTAGCTTCAAATCGTGGAAATCGGTTCCTGAAAGAGTTCTATTGAAAAAACTCGAAGCAAATCAGTTCTATCGACTTTATTTGCGGTTCTAGATAGATTATGGATGTCACAGCATTGCTTTTTCAGAATACTAACGGCAAAAGCGACAAAATGGAGATCAGGTCTTACGGTAGGTCTTACGGTAGACGGAGAGTTTTAAAATCGAATTTCTATATCTGTAATCGTTTTCAAAATCTACTGTGACATCCAGCTTGAGCAAATTCACTAAAAAATTCTCAAAACCATTATTTTCTAGCTTCAAATCGTTCCTGAAAGAGTTCTATTGAAAAAACTCAAAGCAAATCAGTTCTATCGATTTTATTTGCGGTTCTAGATAGATTATGGATGTCACAGCATTGCTTTTTCAGAATATTAACAGAAAAAGCGACAAAATGAAGATTAGGTCTTACGGTAGGTCTTACGATAGACGGGGAGAGTTCTAAAATCGAATTTCTGTATCTGCAATCGTTTTCAAAATCTATTGTGACATCCAGATTGAGCAAATTCACTGAAAAATTTTGCGCTTACCTTTTTGATTCAAGAGGAAAAGTCGCCAAACGGGAATGGCTTCTTTGATCAGTTGGATGTACTCCCTTTCCTTTAGGATCGGGTCCGCTGCTTCGAAATCTGAAACTTTCAAGCTTTAGCTTCTCTATTGCGTTCTATAGTCGTTCCAAATCACTCACCAAAAGATCTAAGCTCGATCGATTCTCGAATTTGCACTTGTAAACACGAATCAGTGATTAGTGCAAAGAGTTCCCAGAAATCTGAGCTCGCTGAGCGACAATGTTGAGCTCGCTGAGCGGCAATCTCTTTCCTGAAAGCCCTGGAGAGTTTAAAACAAACATCAGAATTATCAGAAACCTCAAAAGTCATATTTTTTTTTGGCTTTTGGCTAAAATTCTGATTTTCAAATGACCAACCAAACCCTTTTGATCCAAATTCGCAAACGAAACACGTGTAATTTTTCCCAGCAGATCGCGCGAAGACTCGGGCTGATTAGGGGAAGACATTGCGGAAAGCGACGAATCGCGGAGACCATTGTGCAGAGGCTGAAAACTCTTCGATGAGCAAATGGATCTTTTAGCGGGCTGAAGCAGCCCAACTCTTCGTTATTCTGCTAATCTGGAACGCACAACGGGATTTGAAAACAAAAAAATCTCGACTAAGCGCTCATTGAAACTTCGACGTAAAAGCACCGTAATCCCTGGGCTAGAAGATAGAGACTACGGTAGCCTGCGGTAGCTAATTATTGAAAGATTTCGGCTATCTGGAACGCACACTACGAGGCTGGGCAATAAAAAGAATAAAATCCTGGCTTCAAGCCGGGATCAACTTTTGTCGCACATCGATTCGTGCAAATCCGAGTAGAATTTCTTGTTAATCGACGGCCACGTTTTTTTCTCGTCCACAATTTTCTCCTGGTATTTCTCATCAACGTCATCGATCGGGATTCCTAAAAGCAACCTTTTATTGAGCCCCGCCCAAAGCCTCGTCCCTTTGCCATTGGCAATCAAACTTTGAACTCAATTATCTTGTTGTTGAGCTGTCCAATTTAAGACTTCTTGGTCTCATTAGATGCGCCAAGTCTTTCTCTATCGATTGGTAGCAAAACTATTGAATTTGGACAGACCAAAGCCGAGATATTCGATCTCAAAGTTTGAGTGCCAAAAGGGGCGGAGCCAGAAAAAGCTTATATACGCAACCCATATCATTCGATGCGCCAAGGCTTTCTCTATCTATTGGTATAAAAACTATTGAAATTGGACGGTCCAAAACCGAGATATTCGAGCTCAAAATTTGAATGAGGGCGGACCGTATAAAAGGTCTTTCTAGCCCCCGCCCAGGCACCGCAACTTTGAGCTTGAATATCTCGGCTTTGGACCATCCAATCTCAATAGTTTTTATACCAATCGATAGAGAAAGACTTGGCGCATCGAATGATATGGGTTGCGTATATAAGCTTTTTCTGGCTCCGCCCCTTTTGGCACCTTAACTTTGAGCTTTAATATCTCGGCTTTGCTTTGTCCAAATTCAATGTTTTTTGTATCAATCGATAGAGAAAGACTTGGCGCATCTAATGAGACCAAAGAAGTCTTAAATTGGACACATCAACATCGAGATACTTCAGTTCAAAGTTGGATTGCCAATAGCAAGATCGAATGTCCCAAAACCCACTCACCCAGCAATGAAGAAACAATCTCCGGCGTCTGCGAAAAGCAATCCTCGTCATAAAAGCAATTTTCCCATTTGCTTGCATCAGAATAAGAGTATTCTAGCAAAAGCCTAAAGTACTGTAAGTTGTAAATGAGTACTCCTGTCGTTTTCTAGGTTTTCTATAGTGAGCCGATTAAGAAAAAACGCTTTTTGGTCAAGCTGGATGTCACTAGACAAGAATCTGGCGGAAAAATGAACAGTTTTTAATGTTTAACTTTTCTGGGCAGAGTTGCGTAACTAAACCGGACGTTTTCCTCGATTTTTTACATAACAATTCTTGAGTTAAAGCAATTTTTGGTCAAGCTGGATGTCACTAGACAAGGATCTGCCGGAAAATGAATAGTTTACAATGTTTAAAATTTTGATCAAAGTTGCGTAACTAAACCGGACGTTTTCTCCGGATTTTTACATAACAGTTTTGGAGATAAAGCAATTTTCGGCTAAGCTGAATGTCACAAGACAAGAATCAGTGAAAATGAACAGTTTATAATGCTTACGATTTTTGAGCAAAGTGGCGTAACTAAACCGTCCGGTTTCTCCGGATTTTTACATAACAGTTTTGGAGATAAAGCAATTTTTGGTCAAGCTGGATGTCACTATTGGAGAATCTATCGGAAAAAGAACAGTTTACGATGTTTAAAATTTTTGATCAGAGTTGCGTAACTAAACCGGCCGGTTTTCCCGGATTTTTACATAACAATTCTTGAGTTAAAGCAATTTTCGGCCAAGCTGGATGTCACTAGACAAGAATCTGCCGGAAAAAGAACAGTTTATAATGTTTAAATTTTTTGATCAGAGTTGCGTAACTAAACCGGACGTTTTCCCCGCATTTTTACATAACAATTCTTGAGTTAAAGCAATTTTTGGCTAAGCTGGATGTCACTAGACAAGAATCTGCCGAAAAAAGCCTTTATTTAAATCTTTTAAAATTTCGATAAAATTGCGTAACTAAACCGGATGCTTTGACGAGAATGGCGGGAATTTTTTTTCGCATCTTATTCTACCTGCTCAATTGCCCGAGTGAAACGATCAACGGCGACGCGATTTCGAAGAAGCTCTCCTCAAATCTCTCCTCGCCACCCTTGACGACTTTGAGCACTCCGTCGAGTGCTTGCAGTGAGGCACGAATCTAAAATTTTTTAAAATTTTAAATCAACTTTTCTTTTTTGATTTTTAGCTACTGTGACATCCAGGATGATCAATTTTTAAATCGAAATTTATTTCTGATCAGCCAATTCCTCGAAAACCCACCGTTCGGCGATTCTCGGCAAACTCGTCGCCGGTTGGCGCTTCGACATACTGATCGAAGCCCAGGAAGCTCACAAGATCATCCAAATTCGTTTTCTGCTCAAATTTCTTCGGCACCTCCAGGGATTTTTCGAGTAAAAGACGTTTCTCGTGGAAGGAAAGCGGGTAGTTCACGAGATGAGCGAGCAACTGAAGCTGGGGGAAATTCTCGGTGATAATAGCTTTCAGAAAATTTTTCTTGAATGAAATAGAAATGCTGGAAGGCACGGAAATGAATGGCTGAGGTGGAAAATGGAAATTTTAAAATAGACCTGTGATAGTACTGCTTCTTGCATTGCTGTCAATCTGTCCGTGACACTCTCCCGAATTGAGATGATTTCTTCAATGAAACGCTCGTTTTTCTAAATCTTTTCATTTTAAAGAGCTGAATTTCTTTTTCCTCACCGCGAAAAGATGCCCGTGACTCTCGAGACAGCCGAGAAGACCGGACAGGGTGTGACGCTTCGTCTCGAACTGAATTTGGGGAAATTCTGGGGTGAGAGTCTTTTGTTAAAGCAATTTTTGGTCAAGCTGGATGTCACTAGACAAGAATCTGCCGGAAAAATGGACAGTTTACAATGTTTAAAATTTTGAGCAAAGTTGGGTAACTAAACCGGACGTTTTTCTCGGTTTTTTACAACACAATTCTTGAGTGAAAACGCTTTTCGGCCAAGCTGGATGTCACTATTTGAGAATCTAGCGGAAAATAAACAGTTTACAATGTTTAAAACTTTGAGCAAAGTTGTGTAACTAAACCGGATGTTTTCCCCGGATTTTTACATAACAATCCTCGAGTTAAAGCAATCTTTGGCTAAGCTGGATGTCACTATTGGAGAATCTAGTGGAAAAGTGAACGGTTTACAATGTTTAAAATTTTGAGCAAACTTGCGTAACTAAACCGGACGTTTTCTTCGGTTTTTTACATAACAATTCTTGTGTTAAAGCAATTTTTGGCTAAGCTGGATGTCACTATTGGAGAATCTAGCGGAAAAAGAACAATTTACAATGTTTAAAATTTTGACCAAAGTTGGGTAACTAAACCGGACGTTTTCCCCAATTTTTTACACAAAAATCTTTGAGTTAAAGCAATTTTTGGCTAAGCTGGATGTCACTAGACAAGAATCTGCCGGAAAAATGGACAGTTTACGATGTTTAAAATTTTGAGCAAAGTTGCGTAACTAAACCAGGGTAAAATACCTGTTTCTCCCGAATCTCTCCCCATTCCACTTCGAATTCGATAACGAGAATCTCTCTTATCATTTGGAGATATTCAAAGAGAGTTCCCTCATTTCTGACAATGATTGGGAGAAGACTGTGAACGATCGAAAGAATTCCATTTATGTGGATCCATTTCGAGGATTTTATCTGAAAAAAAGCTTATTCTTTTAGCTTTTAGACGCTAATAGATAATAGATAATAGATAAATAATCTAGATTTTTAAATCCTCCCTTTTAAATAAAGAATTTTGAACAAAAAGCAAAACGATTGGCGGCAAGAGGAGTCGAACCCGCGACCCATCTCTTCCGTTCGTTTTAGAGACGCACATGTTAACCACTCGGCTATGCTTGAGACGGCTGCCCCACGCTTGAAAGAGGTTAACTCGACCACTTGGCCATCCTTGAGGGACGTTAACTCGGCCGCCGGTCTCAAGCAGGCCATGGCGCAGTGCGAGCGCGCTTTTCTCCAGCCCAAACAACGCGGGTTCGATTCCGGTCCGTATCGGGACTTCTAATTTTTTTGAAAATTTAAAAACAATATCATAACTAGATGAAATTCTAAGCCAAAATAACTATAAATCATTTAAAACGGTCCACTGGGGGCGGAGGAGGAGCCACAAACAGACAGATACTCCCTCTATAAATAGTAGATATAAAAAGAACTTTGAGACAGCAATAAATACTAAAATCAGTGATTTCTAGGGGTAACTTTGGACGCTGATTCTAAAAAACATGATCTCAAGACGATTAGAGCATGGCATCAACCAGAAAAACGGCACTGAAAACAAGAAAAACGTCGTTTCACCATAGAGCTCTTTCTACGGCCCGAAATTTCTTAAAAATTGAAATAACTTTAAGAACTAAATCCGCCATCTTATAGAGCTTGTTTTAAGCTTCCAGAATCACTATAATACTTCTAGTTTACAATGAAAAAACTTGGATATAGAGCTTCACAAAGATGGAGAAAAATTCGCAAGGTGATAGTACTGTAGGTTTACTTTGGCGTCCAATTCCTCAAAAATTCAAATAAGTTTAAAAAACCAAATCCACCACCTTATAGAGCTTGTTTTAAGCTTTCAGAATCACTATAACACTTTTAGTTTACAATAAAAAAACTGGGATTTAGAGCTTCACAAAGATGGAGAAAAATTCGCGAGATGATAGTACTGTGGTTTTACTTTGGGGTAAAATTTCTCAAGATCCAAAAAACGAAACCCCTTCAATTTTATATCAAAATATTCCTTGCTTTCTTGGCTACATGATGGATAAAAGGGTTTTTTGTAAAAGTTAAAATTTCATAGAAAAAATTGGCGTTCAAAATTGGCGTTCAAAATTTTGTGTCCATTCTTTTGCTGAGTCTTTTCAGTAAGTTTTCAGTTGGTTTATTGAATATTTTTAGCTGCTTTTAGCTCCTCCAACTACCGTACTCCAACTTTATCGGTGTACGGTAGTTGAGCGTTGGATTACGGTGTGTTTTCATAGCACCAGACACCAGCGATTCTTTTCAACTCACGAATTCCCGTTGTCGCCTCAAGATCAGCGCCGGCCAATCGCCAATCAGCTTCTCTAAGTCCTAAAATTCTCATTCATAATTCCAAGCAAGCAGCCAAGCAGCCAAGCAGCCAACCAACCTCTATCCTCACGTGTCCTCCAATTCCTCGATCTTTGCCCTTCTCCTGTACCGATTTCAGAATCGATTTCATGTATTTTCCCCAATTCTCCGCTTCGGTCTCGATTACTGAAACGATTATTGAAACGATCGGGATTCCTAAAAGCAATTTTTTATACTCAAGCCCCGCCCAAAGCCCCGTGCCTTTGCCATTGGCAATCAAACTTTAAACTAAAATATCTCGGCTTTGGCCTGATCAATTCAAGTCTTTTTGGTCTCATTCGATGCGCCAAGGCTTTCTCTATCTATTGGTATAAAAACTATTGAATTTAGACAGACCAAAACCGAGATATTCGATCTCAAAGTTAGGGTGCCAAAAGGGGCGGAGCCACAAAGACCTTTTATACGCGCCCCATATCATTAGATGCGCCAAGTCTTTCTCTATCGATTGGTATAAAAAACATTGAATTTGGACGGTCCTAAGCCGAGATATTCGAGCTCAAAGTTAGCCCGAGATATTATTTACCCCAATTCTCCGCTTCCACCTCGATTACTGAAACTTTTTCAAGTTAAGAGATAAGTTTATTTTCAAAAATCTCCATCCTGGAACTCACGCTCCTCATCCGCCAATCGATCGATAAAATATCTTTTCGCTGAAGCCACCATTCTGCCCAAGTCCCACCGACAGCCCGCCTCGATGAATGAGAAGAAATGCATTTTGCAGCCTAAAGCTTTCAGTTTTCGGCTCAAATCTATGGAATGCGCTCCAGATTAGAGATTTCTGAGGTGAATTTTGGAGATGAGCTATTTTTAAACGGTCTAAAGCCTCAGCTCCCTACGCCTCTATTCCGGGTTTCTTCAAATCACACCTAGTGCCCAAATTTGCATACATCTAGCTGCCATGATATCCAGATCGGCAAAATTTGAAACCAGTTTTGTGAAAGGGCCATTTTCAAACGGTCTAGGACCCCAGCTCCCTACCCCTCTATTCCGAGTTTCTTCAAATGTCGCCTAGTGTCCAAATTTGCAAACGTCTAGCTGCCGTGCTATCCAGATCGGCAGAATTCAGGATCAGCTTTGTGAAATAGCGATTTTTAAACGCTTCAAAAGTCTTGCTTTTGTTTGCTCACAGTACTAGTCTTCTTTTTAAGAAATTTGGCCCAAATTTCCGACTGAATCACTGAATTGTGCTCCAGATCGCCGAAATCTGAGATCCTTTTTGCAAAAAAAGCTAATTCCCGGCCAGTAAAAGGCCCAGCTCCCAACTCACGGTTCATTTCCGCGATCGCCTCGGCGTCATCGGTGTAATCCTCTCGAGAGAAGCTCGTCGTCAGCGTGGGCGGCTCGAAAGATGGCCATAACTGAAATTTCGATAGTTTAATCCGAATTTTTGGGCCGCTAAAGCCAAAAAAAGCCAAAACGCCCTCTAAAAAACAACTCGGTTACCGTACCCAATTTTTGGTGTTTTCTAAAATTTGCTCGTTTACCTCTTTCTCCATCAGAATCGGCACATTTTCCGCTAAATCGGTGATTTTCTGAAGGAAATCCGGAGAGTTTTTGCCGCCTTTTCCGCTCAAAAGAGCCCCGAGAATTTCCATGGATCCCACGCGCAGTTTCTGGAAAGTTTTCATTTTTCTGTGCGATCTGGAGGCTTTAGCAATGAAAGAAAGCCAGATTTCGATGATTTTTAGCCAATCTGGAACTCACAGCAGGCTTGGCCGCAAAATTTTGCGAGTATTTCAAGATTTAAACTTTTCACTTTAGCAATGGGCGATCTGGAGCTCATTGGAGGCTTTAGCAATGAAAGAAAGGCAGCTTTCGATGATTTTTTCGTCGTTCTGGAACGCACAGCAGGCCTGGCCGCAAAATTTTGCGAGTATTTCATGATTTAAACTTTTCATTTTAGCAATGGGCGATCTAGAGCTCATTGGAAGCTTTAGCAATGAGAGAATGCCGGATTTCGATGATTTTTAGCCAATCTGGAACGCACACTGTACGCAGACTTTATTTTAAGCTGATAGCTAAAGCTTAAGCTAAATTTGTAACTTTTTTTGATCATTCTGGAACACCAACCAAACTTGGACTGTGAATGAGCGAGAAACCGGTGTCGATCAGCCATTTCAAAGCCGGCGATCGCTCGTCGAACACCTCGGCCACTGTATACCCAATCGTAATCAAGAGTTGCATTGAAGCTTTGAGAAATTCGTATTCTTTTAGAAACGGATGCGGATTGGTGGAAATCTGGAAAGAAAAATTGAACTTAATCTGGTTTTTTTCCATTGAAAGACTCCAGATTTCAGTTAATTGAAGGAAAAATTGTAAAAAAAAGGATAAAAATATGATATACCGTATTTTCTCTAATAGTTGTGCAACCCTTTGAACACCAAACTTTGAACTGAAGTATCTCGATGTTGAGGTGTCCAATTCAAGTCTTCTTGGTCTCATTAGATGCGCCAGGTCTTTCTCTATCTATTAGTATAAAAACTATTGAGATTGGATGGTCCAAAGCCGAGATACTTCAGTTCAAAGTCGGGGTGCCAAAAGCTCAAGGGTGAGCCGAGTTGGTGACTATTTTACGGTTTCCAATCTTTCCCAGAAGCTCAACACTCAAATCCCCACTAGATCTCATCATCAGCTACATTTTCCGATCCCACATCGATAGGTTCTGATAAGCGGTTCTCGAGATTTCAAAGAATTTAGGCAACGCTCAGGGTCCACTACTATTAGAGAAATAGTGGTATTTCAAGACAAAACAAAAAAGTTCGAGTGGCAGTAAGCGGAGTCGAACCCGGACCCTGTGGGTTGTAGACCAGCGTGCTGCCGACTGTGCCAAGGGAAGCGGTAGACGCCCTTCGAAAAAGTCGCTCTTAACCGAGTTAACCGGGTTAACCGGGGTGACCGGGTTAAGCCGATAAAAGAGAAGAAACGTAGTTAAGAGCGGTTTTTTCTTGGCGGGGATTGAGGTCGCTATGGCGCAGTCGGGAGGGCGCTCGTCTACAAGCCAGAAGATCGGGGTTCGACCCCCCGCACTGCCACCAAATTTTGATTTTTGCAATAAATCGCTAAGAAACCTTTTCTTTGAGTCTTTCGATTCGTTGGATGAGTTGCTGGCAGAGAATTCCTTCAGAGATCATTATTTCGAAGCCTTTTCTGGAGCGTTTTCTTTCAAAACCCTGCCTCAACACTGACCTCTTCTTCCCCAAAATGCACATGACATTTAACGCGTCGTGCGTGATCGGCGAGCCGACGAATTGAGCGATTCGACAAACGAGAAGTGAAAGATTTCCATTCAAAATCATTTCAATTTGCCGCTCGGCCAATGCCTCGAAAAAACCGAGCACAAAATGCGAAACCGCTAACTGATTTGAGTTTGAGTCTAAAACTTTGAAACTTTTGAATTTGATGAACATTTGGCAATGTCAATGTTCATTCTGGAAGTCACAGTGAATTTCTATTCACCTCCAAGCGATTCTCGATCCGGCAAAAAGTCGCTCAACCTTGGCATCAGCGTTTGCGCATATTTTGTGAGATTCTCGTGGAGAAGCTGTAAGTTTTTCAGTTCAGAGGTCAAATTGGAAGTCACGAGGGGATTTGGTGAAATGAAAACGTTGAAATGGTGAAGATTGAAAAAAATGTGAACCTTGTTTCTTGTCGGCTTTTCCTTTACCGCTTTCATGGCCACCACACTGTCCTCGGTCAGCAATCTCGTCAAGATGGACATCACGAGAGCTAGTGCCGTGCTTTGTTCCTCTAGATTCTCAAGGGTAAGGTTTTTGTCTTGACTCACTCTTAGCGATGACGTCATCGAAGGCTTGCGTCCAACGGTTCCATTCACTGGGGAACGTTTGCTCGATTAGGGACTGGAATCAAGGGTTTATTAGAGCTAAAGCCAACCAGGAGCTAGGGTAGACAAGCTAGAAAGCCTGGAGCTGGGCAGACAAGCTATTTACACAACCTTTTCTGCTAAAAATCAATTGGATTCGAGTTCAAGGGATTTTCTCGAATTTCACAACGATTTCCTATTGAATTGATTTATTTTTTGGGAGTTCTGGAGGTCACTAGAAAACTTAAAAACAAAAATTTGGGGAAATTTTGAATTTTAAAAAAAATTTTTAATTTGATTAAGCTCAAGTCAAACCTGACAAGCTGTGGCTGCTTTCTCGCAACAAATGAATCCATTGAGTGCTTTTGGTGATCGGATGAATGCTGAGAACGTTTCGATAACGTTTTTTTGTCGATTTGGCTTCATTTCTCTCCATTTTTCTCTAAATTTTGGGATTTTTGGAAGATTGGGAGATTTTAAGCTTGGAAACTCGTTTTTTGAAATTTGTAAGTCGTTTTTTTTATTGATCGTTTTAAATAGCCGTTGTGACTTCCAAAATTTGATTTAAGCCCAATTTAAACATAATTTTATCGTTTTCTTTCCACGATAATGGCTTGGCTACCGAAAAATCGGAGATGAGCTGAATTTTTCGAGATTTCAAAGTGAAATGGGGTTTTTAAATCAAGAAATAAACGATCTGGAAGTCACAGAAGCGTTTAGAAAAAGATTTAGATTGATATATGCAAATTTCGAATTTGGTATCCGGTATGATAAAAAGATATTCAGCTAATCAGCTTTTCTCGACAATCTCCTGGAAATTTTGTTTTCAATAGCCGTTGTGACTTCCAAAATTCCATTCATGCCCAATTTAAACATAATTTTATCGTTTTCTTTCCACGATAATGGCTTGGCTACCGAAAAATCGGAGATGAGGTGAATTTTTCGAGATTTCAAAGTGAAATGGGGTTTTTAAATCAAGAAATAAACGATCTGGAAGTCACAGAAGCGTTTAGAAAAAGATTTAGATTGATATATGCAAATTTTCTTGCAAATTGAAATGGGGTTTATTGGGAAGGGAAGATTGGGAGATTTTAAGCTTGGAAACTCGATTTTTGAAATTTCTGAGCCGTTTTTTTATCGATCTGGAACGCACTTGAGTTGATAATTGATTAAATTCCAAGCAATCATCTGTAATTCGAGTCGGTGCGAGAAGAGCTCGCTCGCGATGTCGAAGAGGTCACCAATTGGATTCGAAATAAATTCTTGAAGAGCCTAGACGCAAAAAAATTATAGTGTGACCTCCAGAAAGCCCTACCGTAACCTCAGAATCATTTTTAGACAACTTTGTAAACAGTAAATTGCGGAAACCAGTGAATTTCGAGTTCAAGTGATTTTCTCGAATTTCAAAACGGCTTCCTATCGAATAAATGAATTTTCTGGCTGTTCTGGAGGTCACGGAAACACATCCAACCCACCGTAATCGCCTCCTGTCGATCCTCTTGTGTTGTCTCTTGTCCATAGATTCTTTCACACAAATCGACGATCCGCTCAACTCCAAATTCCACCTCGTTGTCGGCATTCGTTTCTTCTCGCATCTAGTTTCTGCTTTTTATTGTAATTGAATGCCAGAAAGGGTGCGTTCAGTCTCAATTTCGAGTTTGATTCAATCACCCAACCCAATCGGCTCAAAATCACGTTTGAACTTTTCAAACCTGATTTTAGCAAAAATTGGAAAGACTTTTCAAGTTATAGGCAAACTTTTTGGGGGTTCTGGAGGGCACACTATAATCCTAGAAAAAGAAAATGTCGACTTGGGGCTTTTTGAGAACCGCGAAAAGTTGCGTAATTGAACCAGCAGATATTTACAAAATTGGCAAGGCTTCTCAAGCTATAGGCTAGTTTTTTGTGAGTTCTGGAGGTCACACTAGAATCCTAGAAAAAGAAAATATCGATTTGGGGCTTTTGGAAATTGCGAAAAGTTGCGTAATTGAACCGGCAGATATTTAAAAAATTGGCAAGGCTTCTCAAGCTATAGGCTAGTTTTTTGTGAGTTCTGGAGGTCACACTAGAATCCTAGACAACGAAAATCTCGATTTGGGGCTTTTTGAGAAAATCTTGGTTGACAGCCATAAATTGCGTAATTGAACCGGCAGATATTTAGAAAATTGTCAAGACTTCTCATGCTATAGGCAAGTTTTTTATAGGTTCTGGAGGGCACACTATAATCCTAGAAAGCGAAAATATCGATTTGAGGCTTTTTGGGAAAATCTTGGTGAACAGTCATAAGTTGCGTAATTGAACCGGCTCAAAATGACGCTTAAACTCTTTTAAACACAAAAATCTCTTTTACAAACGAGGAAACACGGCGAAAACACTTGTCGGTAGCTCTCGGGCGTGGTTCAAAGAAATCCAAATTCCAAAAAAAAATCTCTCAAATTTCGTCAATAAAAAAATTTTATTTCTGCACCAAAAATGTAGCGAAAAAAGAAGAAAAAATGGGAAAAGCATAAAACAAAAAAAATCCGTCATGGCACACACGAAATCGATTGCACAAAAGGGAATTTGGTTGTTGGAAAAATTAGAAATTAGAAAAATTCAAATATTTACACCGTAATCTCGCGAAAAAAAGCGAAAAAAAGCGAAAAAAAGAGTTTGGGTGAATTTCTACGATTTCCGAAAGACTTTTCAAGTCATGGGTACTTTTTCTATGGGTTCTGGAGGTCACATTAGTGAACGAGGAAAAGAAAAATGGAAAAAAGTTGATTTGGCGAGTTTTGAAGTGGCTGTCTAAAAGTACCGTATCCCACGGGTTACGGTAGCTTTCGACAAAGCGCCCCGGGCTTTTTTCTTTTCTAAAACGCGCTCCAAATCGACAATGAGACGATGAATGATAGAAATTTGTGAAAATTACAAAATAAAACAAAAAAAAGCGAAGCACACACTCAATTTTTGGGTTTTATCACAGATTCGATCAAAAATCTTTAGCCAAATACGTCTAAAATCAAAAAAAATATAAAAAATGCTTGAATTGGAAAGCATTATGTCAAAAAAAATCGAAAAATCGATAAAAATGCGATTTTGAAAAATTTGAAAAAATTCCGAAATAGGACTGGAGCAACGCGCGGCGTCTGGTGCACTGAATTTTGAAGATTTCGCGATTTATGGTCGTTCTGGAAGGCAGTTTAGTGTTTCACAACATTTTTGGAGGGTTTAGCAAAGTTTTAAGAGTGCACCAGAGCCGCGCGCTTCTCGACGCTCAAAGCATGACAAGAAGTGCCAGAATTGAGAGAAAACCGATTTTTTTTGGGATCCTGGAGCGCACGAGGGATTATGCCGACGGATTCAAGGATGCTCGCTGATCGTCGAGTCGGCCAGCAGCCATTTTCAGGACCTGAATAAATATCTGAATAACTGAATATGGTTGTGTGGTAGGGCTAAATTTTGACTATCATTCGACGCAGAATGAAATTCCGCATCGAATGACACCAAAATCAACTCAAAATATGGTATCTACGCAAAGTTATGAGGCAAAAAAGTAAAGTGGGCGGAGTTTAGCCAATAACTTTGCTTGGATATTATCTTTTGAGTTCGTTTTGGTGTCATTCGATGCGGAATTCGATTCTGCGTTGAATGATAGTCAAAACCGTCCACTTTAAGTTAAGTCCTAGCCAAAATGGGCGTGGTTTAGCTTTTGAGCCAATAACTTTGCATAGCTACTATATTTTGAGTTCGTTTTGGTGTCATTGGATGCAGAATCGAATTGCGCGTCGAAAGACACCAAAATGACTTCAGAATATAGTATCTATGCAAAGTTATTGGCTAAACTTACTTTTTGCCTCATAACTTTGCTTGGATATTATCTTTTGAGTTCGTTTTGGTGTCATTCGATGCGGAATTCGATTCTGCGTCGAATGATAGTCAAAAGCGTCCACTTTAAGTTAAGTCCTGGCCAAAATGGGCGTGGTTTAGCTTTTGAGCCAATAACTTTGTGTAGATATTAGATTTTGAGTTCGTTTTGATGTCATTCGACGCAGAATCGAATTGCGCGTCGAATGACACCAAAATGACCTCAGAATATAGTATCTATGCAAAGTTATTGGCTAAAAAGCAAAGCCCCGCCCACTCTACTTTTTGCCTCATAACTTTGCTTGAATATTACCTTTTGAGTTCTTTTTGGTGTCATTCGATGCGGAATTCGATCCTTTCTAATGGTTCTAATATGATAACTTTCTCCTTTGCGTACTTTTTAGCAGAGTACGGTGGTTTGGCTAACCAGCTTTCGGTTCTAGGTCCTGGTTTCCCACAGAAAGCTACCGTGCCCTTAAAAAGCTATCGTAATATCGTAAATCGGAAGCTATCGTATTTTAGAATAGAGTACGATAGCTTTTTTCTAAAGCGCACCTTTTAGAGCTCGAATTTACAGACTACAGTAGACAATGATCCACTAGGAACGTGTTCGCCCAATTAACTTTTTTTTGAGTAGACAGATTTTAATGAAACTTTGGCTTTTTCTTAGTTGGATAGCACGTAAAAATTGGGATTGATTAGATTGATGAAATTCTTGACTTTTAGAGAATCGATTTTAGACCCACAATCTCCATGATATCCTCCTCTGGGACTGTTGTGGCCGAGTGATGGGGCAAATTGCCGAGAAATTTCAACCCCGGCACATCATCGATGTCCGTTCGCTGATCGTTGAACCGTTTCGACTGAGATTTGATCACCAAATCATACAAATCCTCGTCGAAGCCCGGCGTGTCGCTAAAATTATTCCAATCAAAGTGCGATAGGGTTTTTCAGTCGTTCTGGAAGTCACACTTCTCTAAAAAGTGCTTTGGATTACTGTAGGTTGATTTTCAAGTCAAGTCGAGCTACCGTAACCCTTGGAGCATTTATCTACCGTATCCCAATGATAACGATAGCCGCAAAGCTGGGATTCTCTAATCTGGAAGTCACGCTTCTCTAAAAAGTGCTTTGGATTACTGTAGGTTGATTTTCAAGTCAAGTCGAGCTACCGTAACCCTTGGGGCATTTATCTACCGTATCCCAAGGCCAACAGTAGTCGCAAAACTGGCATTCTCTAATCTGGAACTCACACAATCTTTTGCAATACATCATCTCGATCGGCGAGTCCGGGGAAGAGGTGAGCCCTTTGCTCTTCCATTCGTCGGCCCTGTGCCGCCAGCAGGTACTCGATGAATTGCTCGGGGGTTTCTGAGAAATAAAGTTTTCGTTTTGAAAACCTTTCAATCTGGAGGTCACACTGTTTTTCTAGACAATTACCGTATCCAGTAATCGTCATACTGTCTGTCTGCCTTGGGCCCCGGTTCGTGAGATCAGTCAAAATTCCGGCGTCACATCTGAAAAGTTGAAATTCTTTTAAATGCAATTCTTTTAAATGCAATCCTTTTAAATGCAAATTTTGCTGCTTTTTGCAAACCTTTGATCGTTTAGCCGTTTTCCTTGCACATTTAGGAGCAAATCGAAGAAGGCGTCCTGTTTGGCGAGCTCCTCCTCCGTGGTGAGCTGAAAACGGAGGTTTTGTACAAAATTTGATCATTCTGGAAGGCACAAGACATGCTGAGATAGCTTTTAACTTATTTGGAGCATTTTGAATTTTAAGGCAAAAGGGAGTACGGTAGCTGAGGGTGCGCTTTAGAAAGTAGGGCATGAAAAGATAGATCTTTTACAAAATTTGATCATTCTGGATGGCACAAGACATGCTGAGATAGCTTTCGACTTATTTTGAGCATTTTGAATTTTAAGCCATAGGAAGTACGGTAGCTGGGAGTGTGCTTTAGATCATAGGCATGGAAAGGAAGATTTTTTACAAAATTTGAGCATTCTGGATGACACAAGACATTCTGAGATAGCTTTTAACTTATTTGGAGCATTTTGAATTTTAAGGAAAAAGAGAGTACGGTAGCTGAGGGTGCGCTTTAGAAAATAGACATGGAAAGGAAGATTTTTTACAAGATTTGAGCATTCTGGAACTCACAAGACATGCTGAGATAGCTTTTAACTTATTTGGAGCATTTTGAATTTTAAGCCATAGGGAGTACGGTAGCTGGGAGTGTGCTTTAGAAAATAGGCATAGAAAGGGAGGTTTTTTTACAAAATTTGAGCATTCTGGAACTCACAAGACATGCTAAGACAGCTTTCAACTTATTTTGAGCATTTTGAATTTTAAAGCGAAAGGGAGTACGGTAGCTGGGAGTGTGCTTTAGAAAATCGAAAAACCGAAAAACGACTCACTTTTGAATTCAACTGTGTATCCGATGAGGAGATCGGCTGCCGACTCAGCCCACAATCCGTTCTTTCATCCATCTGCGGTTCCCGCAACTCATTCACCGACCGGCACAGTCTTGTCGACGGTTCTCCATCAGGGTCGGCCGTCCAATCAAATTGGATCTGAAAAGGCAATCGGATTGTCTAAGCTGGAGCGCAGGCAACTAGAGTTCGGCAAACAAAACCGAAACCAAAACAGACCAAAACCAAAACCAAAACACCAAAAAAAAACCAAAACACGACCTCGAAATTTCGAAGCAAAAAATAGCCTATGGGATAGATTTTTGGACGCTGATTTCAAATCTGCAAACAGATTTTCGCTAGCTCCTCCCAATCGCGAGATTTGGTTAGTTTTGGTTTTGGTTTTGGTTTGTTTTGGTTTGTTTTGGTGGTTTTGGTTAAGTTTTGTTTTCCGAAGTCTACACGCAACAATATTATTAGCTTTTTAGATGCTTTTAGACGTTTTTGAGCCATTTCCCCCCTCGCTCACCTCTCCATCGATCAACAATGTCTGCGAGTTGTCGTCGATCAAATTCGTCAGCTTTTTCGAGTGCATCTCGAGCGCTGTTCGATCTCCCATCTGAAGAATTGCATTTAGAATTAGAATTAGAATTAGAATTAGAATTGCATTTATGGAAAACGATCGATTTTTTGGAAGAAAAAGCCAATTTTTTCGGACAATTAAGAGATCGCTCAATTTTTTCTGCTTTGCCATTAGCAAAATAAATAATTTTACAACTTTTACAGCTAATTGGAAGGCACGAAGAAGAATGGAATAAAAATTGGAATGATTTGCGCGAAAAATTCGATTCAAGATTTTGCGTAATTGATCCACCGAGATTTTGTGGTTAATTTGAGGTGCTGGAAAAATTGTAGTAATCAAAAAGTGAGTTCTGGATGTCACAGATTGGGAAACGATTCTTTGAAACGAGCAAAGTACAGAGAATTCTTTGCACCAGAATCGACCCCGCCGGATCGCGTCGACTTTTCGCGAAAAGGGAAACGTAATGCCGGCCAATTTCGGCGTTTTTCTTTCATCCTGGACGTCACACTATCCCATTCGCTAATCAAAAAGACAAATTTTTCGACTTTTTTTTGAAAATAAGTTTTTTGTATGGTAGACATCCAAAATTAGCATTTTTTAAAAAAATGGCTGAAATGGCTAAAATCCCTAGCCTCTAGGGACTCCAGAATTAGAATTAGCACGCAAAAAACGTGAAAAATTACGATTTTAGCTGTATTTGCGCCATTTTCCCCTCCGTTCTTAGTACAGTAATGTAGGCACTCAAAAATTGATCTAAACTCAAATTTCTCATGCTCATTTTCTGTTGTGCGTTCCAGCTTGAGAAATGGCTTTTGAGAAAAAACGTAAAAACGCATTTGAATCACTAGAAAAGGGGTGATAAAGAGAAATTCGGTTATCATCGAAATTTTAGTCGCAAAAATTTGCATTCAACCAAATTTGAGTCATGTTTTCGCCGATCTGGAACGCATGTTTTCGGAAAATCCCCAAAAATCGAAGAATCAACTCCTTTGCGGATAACTCGAGAACAATTGGGTAACTGAACCGGGGAAATTTGTAAAAAAAGGCAAAAAAAGCCAAAAAAGACAAAAAAGGCAAAAACAGGCAAAAAGAAACAAAAGAAATGACGAAAATCCCCTTCTTTTCGCGCTGAATCAGTGGAAATCAGAGAATTTTCTTTCAAAAAGACAAAATCCTTTTCTAAGACAAAATCCTGCCTAATTGGACGTTTCAAAGAGCTTTCCAGGCTTTTTTTTCACTTTCCCATGAAAGAAAGCAGTCAGAATTACATTAGAAATTTCAAAAAACAAAAAAAAGCAAAAAAAATGGCCGCCGGCAGCAACCGGGATCGAACCCGGGTCCCCTGAGCCGTGGCAACCGACTGCAACCAATTGCACTACCGATTGCGCCATGATGGATAGATTTTTAGAGGATAGTTTTTCCGGATCTAAAATCATTTTTGGGTCCTGTGCGTTCCAGGATTTACGAATAGCAAAAAAGATTTTGAAAAAACGCTGAAAAATTGGCACAAATTTGCTCGAAGTCTGATCGACGAAAATCAAAATTAAAATTCATCATTTCCGATGCTCATTTCAAAGAGAGCAAACAGAGTGCCCTCCAGCTAGCCGCATTGACGTGAAAATATTTGTTTTTTTGAGTCCAGGAGCTGGGCAAGGCCACGGAAAGGCTTTCAGAGTCGGATTTCAGAAAATCGTGGTTTTTCTCGAAAAAATCAGCGTCTTTTCGGCCTCTTCTGGATGGCATCTGGTTCAAATTTCCCCATCTCAACATCCACCCAATTAATCCCCAATTTGACGTCAATTTCTGGCCGATTTGTGTCTTTTTTTCTTTTTATCTCGCCTCTTTGCAGAAAGGGATGAGTTCGAGAGAAAAAGCGATGTTTAAAATGGAAATTCTTAGGCTATTGAAAGGGAAATGGTCGATCTGGAACGCACATAGGGCAATGAAATCAAAAAATCCAAGGCTTGACCATAGTTTAAGCACATCGAATGGAAGGGATGAGTTTGAGAGGAAAAGTGATGTTTAAAATGGAAAATCTTAGCCTATTGAAAGGGAAATGGTCGATCTGGAACGCACACCGATTAAAGAAATCAAAAAATCCAGAGCTTGACCATAGTTTAAGCACATCGAATGGAAGGGATGAGTTCTAGAGGAAAAGTGATGTTTAAAATGAAAATTCCTAGCCTATTCAAGTGAAAATGGTCGATCTGGAACGCACATCGGTTAAAGAGATCAAAAAAACCAGAGCTTGACCATAGTTTAAGCACATCGAATGGAAAGGATGAGTTCTAGGGAAAAAGTGATGTTTAAAATGGAAAATCTTAGTTTATTCAAGTGAAAATGGTCGATCTGGAACGCACACCGGTTAAAGCGATCAAAAACTCCAACGCTTGCCCATCGTTTAAGCACATCGAATGGAAGAATCGGGTTGACGTAAATTTCTCGTCAGCTTTAGCCTCGAATTCAAAAATTTCATCGGATTTGGGTCTTCTGGAAGGCAATTTGATGATTTAAAGGAAAAAAAATGAGGATTTTCTACGATTTAGCGATGCTCGATTTGCACCACGATAGCTAGCTGATCAAAAATGAGAAAAGCCGTCAATGCTTAGAATCTTTTGCAATCATCGTCTATTCTGGATGTCATGCTAGCGATACGTCACGTAAAAGAACTGATTATTGTAATATTCCGCGATGCTCCAAATGACGCTTGTAACTTGGGTGATTGTAGAATAAAAAAGTGAAAAACCAGAAAAAAAAGTTTCGAATTGAAGGAAATGAAAGGAAATGAAATCTAAAATGAAAAGATTTTCCATTTTCTTTGTTTTCCAGACTCTAGAGCTCCTCCCGGAGGCTCATCTTACAAATGGGCACTGAGCACACTCCTCTCCTCTTCCCCGCCCTTTCTTAGCTAAACAATGAGTTTCTGGTCGCTCTTTTAGCATTTTCTGCCAATCTGGAGTGCAGCTTGGCTGAATAGCGCAAAAAGAACGGCTGTTCTGGCGGGGAAAATTCGATGTGAATGGGAGAAGTAGCTGATGAATTACAAATGCTTTACTAATCGGCTTTTGAGTTTTTTTTTGTTTGTTTTGGGGTTCCTGGTAGGCACATGAGCGTCTGCGTGGGTCAGAATAAGAAAATGATAAAGTTGGCTTGAGGGGGTCTGCTGTGATCCAGCATCAGGTTCAGGACTGGGTCAATTTCTAGCTCAAAACAGGCTTGACAGGTAAACTTGCAGATGGACTTTCAATTATGGATGTCAGTTTAGTGTTAGGGATAGGAATATACAGGTATTGTAGACTAGAGTGTTTAGGGCTGGGTCTTCGGTTCAGGACTGGGTCAATTTCTCGCTCAAAACAGGCTTGACAGGAAAACTTTCTGATGGACTTTCAATTATGGATGTCAGTTTAGTGTTAGGTATAGGAATATACGGGTATTGTAGACTAGAGTGGTTAGGGCTGGGTCTTCGGTTCAGGACTGGGTCAATTTCTCGCTCAAAACAGGCTTGACAGGAAAACTTTCTGATGGACTTTCAATTATGGATGTCAGTTTAGTGTTAGGTATAGGAATATACGGGTATTGTAGACTAGAGTGGTTAGGGCTGGGTCTTCGGTTCAGGACTGGGCGAATTCCTCGCCCATAGAAGGCTGTATTCCGAAAATTTGCATTTATTTTTAAGATATGGATATCACGGAAAATATTTCAGCTAACGATACCCTGTGTAAGTGTTTTTCTGGATAATTTACCTATCCAGCCTCAACACCTCCACCTCCACTACTACCAGCGCCTCTCCGTCAATCACCCAAGAATCACTTGACGTCAATTACTTGACTTCCACTTTTTCTGGCCTACTGACATCCAGAATGAACAATGCTAGGGGGATTTCAGTATCTTTCCGACTGAATACTCAAATTACAGCCTTGATTCGGGTTTGAAGTCATTTCTCCGTCATTTTATTTCCTCTAGTCTAACTTCTATTGGATAATCAGCGAAGCTGGAAGTCACACTTTTCGAAAATCTCTTTAGAAGGAAGAAATTTTGCATAAAAAGACGCAAGGAAAATGGGCGGACACAGTTGACGTGGAAATTTCTCGAATTTCAACAAAGCCAGAAAAATCTTTTCGAATATTCAGCGAAGCTGGAAGTCACAGAAAAAGATGGATCACAGAAAAGTGATATTTTATGCAAATTTTGAGTGCTAGTAAATAGGTGTATTGTGTAGTGATTCGCCAAAAAACTGGTTTCAAAAAGTTTTTTTTGCGAAAATTTTGTCATGTGACATCCAGATGGGGAAATGGTTTTCAAAAAAAAGGCCAATCTTTTTAAAAACATGCAAATTTCGGCGAGGAACGCCAAAAGGGGTTTTTTTGCGGACCAAATACGGACCCTGCCATTTTTTGCCGGGAAAACTCCGCAAATGAACCCACTTTTTGGGCTCAATTTTCAGCCATTTCCAGCTTTTCGGCCTTTCCTTTGTCGGAAAAGGGCAAAATTGTGGCAAAACTCGACTGGAACTGATTGCCTCAAAAAAAAGTCGGAATTCCCCAAGAATTTTGACACAACAAAACTGGAAACGAGAAACTGGAAGGCACAAAAGAGAATTCGATAAATTTTTCTTGTTTTTAAGCTGTTTAAAAATTATGGAATTTGTATGGTTTGGGACTGGGTCAAAAATGTGCAAACGCAGGCCATCTAGTGCACTGGCTTTTCGATTTCTGAGTGATCTGGATGGCACTCGACGCATTCGAACAAACTTTTTCACCAAATTACGTCATTTGAATTTAAGGCAATTTGTGTGGTTTGGGACTGGGTCAAAAATGTGCAAACGCAGGCCATCTAGTGCACTGGCTTTTCGATTTCTGAGTGATCTGGATGGCACACGACGCATTGGAACAAACGTTTTCATTAAATTACGTCATTTGACTTTACGGCAATTTGTGTGGTTCGGGACTGGGGGAAAAGGGAGAAACGCGAGCCACCTAGTGCACCAAAACTTGCAATTTTCGGCGACCTGGATGTCATTCTTGCTCGCCAGCAAGTCAGATTTGGGAATTTTTGAAAAATAGAAATTTTCAAATTTCAAAAATTTTGAAACTTTCTAAATTTCAAAAAATATTTTCCAACTTCTCAAACTCCCAAAAATAAAATTTCTTAAAACCAATCTTTCAAAGATTTAAAGATCCACTCGTTTTTAGGCTTTGTCCAGTTATTTTTTATTTTCAAGGCCTTTTTGCGGAGCCCTACGCGGAGGAAATTGAGTTTACTCAAAAATCTCGAAGATTTTCAAGGCAACAAAACTTTTTTGAAATCTAGCCCGTCATCCTGGATGGCACAGCACAGGAAAATAAAGTTTTCTTTCGAAAATTCAAAAATTCAAAAATTTGAAATTTTAAAAAATTTACCAAAAAAGCCGAGTTCTCGATGAGTTGGAGAGCCAAAATTTTGAGCATTTTTGTGAAATCTTAGAATTTTAGTTTTAGTGAATGAATTTTAGATGTAAAATGGGATTTTGGTCACTTAAAAGGTCTGAAAATCGTGTTCTTCAGGGTGACGCAAAATTTGAGGCCAAAATTGGCGCCTATGCCCGGAAATTGGGGGTTTTGGAAAGAGTTTGGCAAGATTTACGGCCATCTATTAATGGGACGGGTGATTTTTTGGCCGATTTCGAAATCATGGAGCTCACGTAGACAAAAATGAACATTTCAAGTCGAAAAGTCAAAAAAGGAAATTTTGAAAAAAATTTCTTTTGGAATCGAGTGGAGGGAAATTTCCGTAACGCGTCACCTGACGATTCTGGCTAGATGAAACTGTCTTGTGACATCCAGAATTAGCATTGAATGGAAAAGTTTTGAAATTTGCATGCTAATTCGCGAGAAAACTGTCTAGTCTATCGCCTCTATCGCCACCTGGGGAAGAGCTGGAATTTCCCGGAAATGCCCAGAAATCACAAATATTTCAATCACATTTACTACAATGCCACCCAGCTAGGGCTTAGCACCAGTGATCGGTGGAGGTTGACACGGAATTTCCCATCAAAAGCGTCCAGTCCTATATCGTCGGGGCATCTAATTTCCAAAACGCGCCAACTGACGATTCTAGCTGGATGAAACTGTCTTGTGACATCCAGAATTAGCATTGAATAGGAAAGTTTTGAAATTTGCATGCGAATTTGCGAGAAAAACAGCGCCAACTGGGGAGCTGGAATTTCCCAGAAACAAAATTTCCAGAAATCGCAAAAATTTCAATTACACCCACTCCAATGCTATCCAGCTAGGGCTTAGCATTGGTGATCGACGGGGGTCGACACGAAATTTTCCATCAAAAGCGTCCAGTCCTCTATCGCCATCTATTCGCCGGGCGATAATTCGATTTCCCGTTCTCACTCCTTTTCCCATGCCAATACCCATCACTAACCCGGCTCTTGCGGAAAAAAAACGGCTGTCTTTTCCAGAGGGAACCTCTTGAAAGGACATCTCCGGAAAATCGAAACTCCGTCTTTTTCTGGTCACAGAATTCATAACTCGAAGATTCGCAGAAATCGCAAAAATTTCAATCACACTCACTCCAATGTCATCCAGCTTGGGTTTAGCACCGGTGAGCGGTGGGGGTTGACGCAGGATTTCCCATCTAAAGCGTCCAGTCCTATATTGTCATCTTTTCGGATGGCGATAATTCGGCTTTCCCTTTGCCGAAATCGTTTAAAACAAAGAAATGCTATCCAGAACACGAGATGGTTGTTGTAATTAGAAAATTGAGAGCAAAAGAATAGCTTTAAGGTCGACTTAAAGTTTGGTCGACTCCGATCCACTCCTATCCACCTCGGTTCACTTCCCCGTTGGTCTTTTGATCAATAAAATGTTCTCTTTTCATTAGTCAGGGCATTAATTGGGTTTTTCGTGTTTCCTGGGAGAAGGGAGGGAAATGGCAGGTGACTCTTTTCTAGTAATTGTCTCGAATGGTCAAGTGATTTAGGGACTAGGCCAGGAAAATTGGACTGACTATAGGAAATAGATTTTGAGTTGAAGAAAATGGAGATCTGGAAGTCACAGCAGACTTTGAGAACAAGGAAAAGGTCGATTTTGAATTTTAAAAAATTTTTGAAAAAAAAAATTTGCATTGAAAAAAAATTTGCATTAAAAATAAAAATTTTTTTTTTGAAAACTCCCAAAACTAGCTTTGTATTTAGATGCTGTGCGTTCCAGATTGAAATGTCTGTGATTTCAAATTTCCGGAAAGCGGTTCCTGGTTGGAGAAAATGCTCGAGAAGTTAAATTCTCGATTTTCAAGCTCTTCTTTCAAGATTTTTCCAAGAATTCGACATTTTTGAGAATTCCGAAAGTTGACCGACCTGTTTCGCCAATTTCCTGCCCATTTCGAGGAAGTACGCGGCTTTCCTGAGGTCACTTTGATAGAAAAAGTCAAGTGAGAGACTCGAGAGGGCTCTCATTTCCCCGGCCACATCTCCGCATTCACGAGCCAGCTTCAGGTGTCGCAAGTGGAATTCGGTGGCTGAAAAAGGATTTGATTTGAATTCGAAAGCAAAGTGTGCATGGATTTTAATAGTTTCAAAAAGTAGCTATCTTGGGGTGCGATTGGGGAGTATGAAATGGTGACACTGGAGGGTTTGGAAAGAGTTTAGCAAGATTTACGGCCATCTATTGATGAAACAGGTCATTTTTTGGCCAATTTTGAAATCATGGAGCTCACGTAGACAGAAAATGATAATTTCAAGTCGAAAAGTCAAAAATGAAAATTTTGAAAAAATTTCAGTTAGAGGGAAATTTCCGTAACGCGTCAATTGACGATTCTAGCTGGATGAAACTGTCTAGAGACATCCAGAATTAGCATTGAATAGGAAAGTTTTGAAATTTGCATACGAATTTGCGAGAAAAATGTCCAGTCCTCTATCTCCACCTGGGGAAGAGCTGGAATTTCCCAGAAATGCCCAGAAATCACAAATATTTCAATCACATTCCCTCCAATGCCATCCAGCTAGGGCTTAACACCAGTGATCGGTGGAGGTTGATGCGGAATTTCCCATCAAAAGCGTCCAGTCCTATATCGTCCGGGCATCTAATTTCCAAAACGCGCCAACTGACGATTCTAGCTGGATGAAACTGTCTTGTGACATCCAGAATTAGCATTGAATGGAAAAGTTTTGAAATTTGCATGCGAATTTGTGCGAAAAACAGCACCACTAGCTTCAGGATTGGTTTTTTGCGTGGAAAAGTCCTGGTTTTCGTCAAATCATGGGAAAAGCAGTCACGTGGAAGAAAAGCACCCCTTAGAAACTTTAAAAGAGGACTTTGGCCACTTGAAAACGTCAATTTCACACGTTAAAATTTTTTTTTTGGAAAATTTGAAAAATTCAAGTAAACAACCCGGTTTTTGCCATTGATTTGCCCAAATTTCTCACCCAATGGATAGTCCTTGATCGCTATCGCCGCGTTTGCCAGCGAGAAGCAATTCTGCGCCTCCGCGTACTTGTCCTCGGTCTCGTGCGCCACCGAGTAGGCCAGGCGGTAGTACTCGATCGCTTTGCGAGCCTAAATTCGAATATCTGATAGATTTTTATAAATAATTTTTTGAAATTCGGTCATTCTGGATGTCACAACAAATTCTGGTTTAGTTAAAAGGGGAAAAAATGAAAATTGAATAAGTTGATTTCTGACGTTACAGGACTGAGTGATTTTAGAGATGAATATGCTAGCTAGCTGGTTGACTCGAATAAATTTGGGCCTTCTGGAATGCACTAAGCCCACCTCGTTCAGCATCATATGCGCGTTGGCCAAATTTGTGTAGGCTCGACGAGACGCTTGTCGATCGCCGAACTGGTGCGCGATGTCGAGACGCTAAAATTTTTTCAACTCAACCAGCACTCATTCTGGATGTCACACTTTCATTTGGAGCACTTAAAAATCGAATTTCTTTATTTTCGGACCACCTGCATATGGTAGTCGACAGCGCCGCGAAAATCGCGAAGAATATAAAAGTTGTTGCCCAAATGTCCGAGAATTCGGCCGACGAACATCGAGTCGTTTAGCGTGCGTGCCAGATCGAGGTTCACCCTTAAAATCAGCTCAATTTTCCATATAAAAACCTTAGAATTTTCGGTGAACGTCATTTGTACCGTAGCTGATGGATTAAAATTTGAAAAACGGTTTTAAACCACTTCCATCATGGTCCGTGAGGTCCAGATTGGCCGTAAATTAAGCGCTAATTGGGTAAAAATGAATTCTCGTGGGATAAATTCGCTCAAAATCGATCGCTTACCTGAAATAGTCGTTGCTCTTGTTTAGATCATCTTTCGCTTGTTGCCATGTCGGTCCGTCGACATCATTTGTCGATGGACACATCCGGGAAAGCTCTTTCCCCCGAGCTTGATGCGCAGTACCCAAATGAAACAAGGCACGCGATTCGAGGAACTGAAATTTCGGAGAATGGTTAGAATTGAAAGGAATTTGAGGGATAGAATTGTTTTGAAGCAATCTTAGAACCCTAATTGGCTTCCTAGCTAGGCCATTTTCTTACAAGATAGACTCAGGAAGGCTCAGGAAGGCTCAGAAAGGCTCAGGAAGGCTCAGGAAGGCTCAGGAAGGCTACAAGATAGGCTTAATTGACAGAAACGTAACGTAAACATTTGTCGGTTCTTTTTGCCATTGGTTTGCCAGCCCAGCTCCTTCCAATTTGACTATTTTGACTATCATTCGATGCAGAATTGAATTGCGCTTCGAATGACACCAAGATGACCTCAGAATATAGTATCCATGCCAAGTTATGCGGCAAAAAGTAAAGTGGGCGGGGCTCAGCTTTTTAGCCAATAACTTTGCTTGAATATTATATTTTGAGTTCGTTTTGGTGTCATTCGATGCGGCTTCGATTCTGCGTCGAATGACACCAAAATGACCTCAGAATATAGTATCCATGCAGATCTATTGGCTAAACTCCGCCCACTTTACTTTTTGTCTCATAACTTTGCTTGAATATTATATTTTGAGTTCTTTTTGGTGTCATTCGATGCGGAATTCGATTCTGCATCGAATGATAGTCAAAATAGACAAATTGGAAGGAGCTGGGCTGAGAAAAACACGAAAAACAATGTTAAAAAGAACCAATAGATGTTTTCATTACAAGTCTAGAACAATTGAAGTCTAACCAGCCCTGTTTTCGACTCACCCGATCGTTCAATTGTTTCGCTAGCTTGAGTTGCGTTTCGAAGTATGACAAAGCCATCTCATATTGTCCCACGGCTTTCATCGCGTTTCCGAGATTCCCGCACGCTTTCGCCTCACCCGTTCGATCGTTGAGCACCCTAGAGAAAGAGATTTTCACTATTTTTCCCTATTTTCCACTATTTTTCACTATTTTTCCCTATTTTTCGCTATTTTTCCGAATCCTGGAGCTCAAAGCTTGAGTTGAAAACTTTTAAAGAAAAATAGAGTCGATTTCGATTTTTCTCTACTACGTGACATCCAGGATAGACAAAGGAAAAAGATTTTCTCAAAAAAAAAACAAATTAGGAACCCTTTTAAGGCCTTAACTCTATTCGTGAGGTCCAGGATTGATGGAACAAGGAGAAATTTTGGGGATTGTTTTGTAAGAAGCTTTAAAAGCAGCATAAGACTCACCTGGCCAACAGCAAATCGTTTCGGTGAAACTCGATGGCTTTCGAGTAGGATCCGACGGAGAAAAAGGCGTTTCCTAGTTGGGAGTAAATGGCGGAAAGGGTCAGTAAATCGGAGGTGCCGATGGCGATTGCCGCCTCCATCGATTCGATTCCTGGAAATTTTGAAAGAATTGGGTGTTGGCTAACTGTTGGCTGGCTCGGGCTTAGGCTTGGACTTAGGCTTAGGTTTGGGCTCAGGCTCAGGCTTAGGCTTGGACTTAGTGCGAAAGCTCGTGGTTAGCGCCTCGCAGTGAGTCTATGTGGGTTTGGGTTAACCCCCCATTTTCTGGATGACGTTAGGCTAAGGCTTAGGCTTGGGTCAAGGCTTGGGCTCAGGCTTGGGCTTGGGCTTGGGCCTTGGCCTAGGCTCCTCTAAGCCCAAGCCGAAGCAAGAATCTAGCATCAATTCATCCTTTGATTTGGTGTTTGGGGTCTGGAAAGGCCTAGCTATGGACTGAGCCTAAGCCTGAGCCTAAGCTCGAAGTCTAAGCCTAAGCCTAAAGCTGAGCCTGGGCCCGAGCCTAAGCCTGAGCCCAAACCTTGACCCAAGCATAAACCTAAGCCTAAGCCCAAGCCTAAGCCTGAGCCTAAACTTGAAAATGGTTTGGTTTTCGTCAAATTAGGTTTGAGAATTGGCCAGATAGGAAAAAATGGAAAAAAATGACCCAGCTCGAAGTTCAGGATCGCGTTTAAAAAGCTTTACGCGCTCCGAGACAGGTAGGCTAGTGGATAAGGCGCTTGGATACAAAGCGAGACAATCCCTCTTTGCTCTGGTTCGATTCCTCCTCGCGCCAACTATTTTGGAATTCTTCGCAAATTCCTTTTCTCTATCTTTGCTTTAAGTAGTTATGTTTTAGGCTCGTTTACTACTTCTAATGATGCTTATAGAACTGTAGAGTAGCTTGGAAAGTGGATGGCGATTATTCCGATGATTTTCAAATGATTTTCAAAACTGATTTATTTTTTTAGAAAACCTTGTTTCGAAAGAGCCCAGAAAGAGCCCTCTTTCGAAATTTCCTCTCCAAAAACGATTCCTATAATGTTTTTCGAGCTCAATGACCTCCAGGATTAATAGATCAGTTCTTATTTTCTATGCTTTCCGCAATTTGATTCAAATTTCGAGCATGAACGCTTTTTGACCGCTTCACCGTTTCTAATGGCTCTTTTTTCGGGAAAAATCCAACATTTTTCACTCAAATGCACTCCAGATTGGAAAAATTTGAGAAAATTTTCCTTTCCCCGACTCACCACGATCAAAATGCCCATCGCGAATCAAACGCTCGCCCTCTTTCGCCACCTCCAAACACCGCTCATTTCGGTCTTTCATTCAGCGGGCGGAGATCGAGTTGAGACTTGGAAAATGATCTGAAATCAATAGGAAATTGATAGGAAATTGATAGAAAACGATAGGAAAACGATAGGAAACGATAGGAAAGCGATCTGAAATCAATTTAAATCAATTTAAATCAATTTAAATCAATCTAGATCAATCCAAATCAATTTAAATCGATCAAAATCAATCAAAATCAATCTAAATCAATCTAAATCAATCTAAATCAATTTAAATCAATTTAAATCAATTTGAAATCAAATCCTGGATGTCACTAAAGCCGAAATAAGCAAAGACAAAGACAAAGAATAAGCAAAGCAAAGAAATTAGAGCGAAGAGTAACCAGCAGTTAATAGTAAGTTAATTCTCGAAGATTTTCCCATTTTCTGATGCTGTGCATTCCAGGATGGGGAAAATAAGCAAAAATTTTTTGGCTATAGACAAGAAAACGCTTGGAAATCGACTGAAAGCAATAGCCAGAGCAATATTGGTTTTTTTAACAATGGAGGACATTAAATGAATTTTTGGGTGCCGTGCACTCCAGGAAAGCCCAAACAATGCTCAGAATTTGATTTTGATATTTTTCTGGGGGCTAAAATCGGGTGATCAAGTTGACGGGGTGGATGGGACAAATAGCGGGGTTTGGAAGGGCTGGAACGGTAAACATCAGCCCAGTGCGCTCCAGAACTCCGCTTGGACCCTTCAAAACACTCATCCCAGCATTCACTGATCGGGAAATCGATCAGCTATGGAAAAAAGGTGGAGACAAGTAAGTTTTCTGGGGAACAAGTAAGTTTTCTGAGCTCGGAATCAAGCCAAAACCTGACAGAAACCTGCTGCGCCTTGCTGCGCCTTGCTGCGCCTTCCAGGATTTCGTTTGCGAGAATTTCCTTTTAATTTCCCCATTCATTTCCCCCTTCAATTGAAATTTTTTCCTCTTGCAGTCAAAGAAATTCGACTCTCATTAAAAAATCGAATGCCACGAGACCAAAAACAGCAATTATTTCGATGAGAAGAATCGGCTTTGTGAAAGAAATGCTTTTTGAAATGAAATTTTCCTTTAGAGATTTTAAAGATGACAATTCTGAGGGATTTAGACACGATTGTTAACAAAAAAGCGGACATTTCAATGATTTAAAAGCCATTCCTGGAATGCACAAGTGCTAAAGAAGCCAGAAAATTGCCAATTTTGCCAATTTTGAGAAAACGATAATACAACGAATTGATGGCTTTGGTTCAGTTACGCAATAATAATCGAAAGTCGAAAATTGATTTTCTGATTTAAAAACTGGATTCAAACAATTGTGTGACCTCCAGATAAGCCAAAAATTATGTCAGATTTTGAAAAGAAAGCCTTACAGCTAATGTACGGCTTTGGTTCAGTTACGCAATAATCTGCTTTTCTGAAAATTGTTTCATGATCAGAGAAATCGTTGCAAAAGATCATGTGCGTTCCAGATCGGCCAAAAAATTTGTCAGATTTTAAAAAGAAAGCCTTACAGCTAATGTTCGGCTTTGGTTCAGTTACGCAATAATCTGATTTTCGAAACTCCCTTTTCTGATCCAAAAAACTGGATGCAAAAGATCGTGTGCGTTCCAGATAGGCCAAAAAATTTGCCAGATTTTGAAAGCAAAGCTTTAAAGCTAATGTTCGGCCTTGGTTCAGTTACGCATTGATCTGATTTCTGAAAATTGCTTTTCTGATTTAAAAACTGGATTCAAACAACTGTGTGACCTCCAGATAAGCCAGAAAATTTGTCAGATTTTGAAAAGAAAGCCTTACAGCTAATGTTCGGCCTTTGGTTCAGTTACGCAAATCAAGAATGAGCCAATAATTCAAGAAAGAAATCCCGGGTGAACCACGAGATGACGCTAACGACAACGATGGAAATCACGAAAATTGAGGGCCCACTTGGTTGGAGCTGAAAAGAAAAAGAAACGAAAAAAAAGAGGGAATCGGGGCAAATCGGGGCAATGCATTTGGAGATGAAAAAGGGGGGAAAAGGGGCAGAATTGCTCATCGACGAGACACAAATCAGCCCCCATTCCATCCAGTTTCAAGACGCAGAGGGCAGTGCTGAGGGAGGGGCAGAGAGCAGAGAAAGAGGGGAAAGGAGGGAAAGCGGATGCCTCCCGGGCAGCGCCAGAGCACGCTTTAGAATGGTAGCGATTTTTAGCGAATTTGGCCATGAATGGTTATAAGAATGAGATTTTTGAGCATCCTGGAATGCATTAGGTAAAATAAGCTGAAAAAAGAGGGAAAGCGGACGCCTTTAGGGCAGTGTAGGGGCACGGTTTAGGACTGAGGCGATTTTCAACGATCCTGGTACTTGTTTGCTATAAAAAGAGAATTTTTGAGCATTCTGGAACGCACAGTATACAATGGTTTAAAGAAAATTGGAAGAAATTAGATAGAAATGTAGGGCAGAGGGACATGCTTTAGGACGGAGGCGACTTTCAGCGATTCTACCACGTATCGGATCTAAGAATGAGATTTTTGTGCATCCTGGAAGTCACAAAGTTGACTTAGTCAAGAGAATTTTAGAAATCGACTGTTTTCCATGGTCTCAAAAGAGCACGGTTTAGGACTGAGGCGATTTTCAGCGATTCTACCATGTATCGGATCTAAGAATGAGATTTTTGTGCATCCTGGAAGTCACAAAGTTGACTTAGTTAATGAGGATTAAGAAAATCGACCTCCTTCATGGTCTCAAAGGAGCACGGTTTAGGACTGAGGCGATTTTCAGCGATTCTACCACGTATCGGATCTAAGAAGGAGATTTTTGGGCATTCTGGAAGTCACCAAATTGACTGCTCTGTGTTTTTTCGTGTTCTGAAATATCTTTATTATATCCGAAAAATACGAGAATTTCGACAATGACAATGACAAAATAAGTGTCTAAAATGAAAAAAATGGAAGGGCAAATATAGGTACATGATGAGGGAAATCACCCGAAACCCCTCAAAAAGGGTCAGAGACGATAAAATGTGGATAAAGCTACCGTAATACTTGAAAAAATGTGTTTAAAGTGTGGACGATGAAACCAGGAAAAACTACCGTAATCCTTAAACGCGTTATTGCAAAGATACTCAGCTAAACGCTAAAATAACTCGAGAGCTGGCTCCTTCGAAATTTCGTCGTTTTTCGGGTATTGCGGATGGATTTCGGAGCTCGTGTCGTACTTGGTTAACCTGAAAAAACTGGAAAAGGTTATGGTTGATCGTTTCGTCGTTTTCTAAAAAGTGCGCTTCAGGAAAAGCTACCGAAAGCTACCGAAAGCATTTTTAAGCATAAATTAGCCTTTTTATTTCCCAAATTTGCTTTCTACCGTGATTTCTGCGAGATCTGGAACTCACAGCAACTTTTGAGATGCAAATTTTACGGAATAGTCGAAGCTTTAGAATCTCATTGCTCTGATTGCTTTGCCTCCTGCTGTACGTTCCAGGATTTCGAATTTCTTCGTAATTTCAAAATTTTTGGCCAATCTGGAAGTCACAACGAGTTTTGAGATGTAAATTTTGCGAAATAGTCGACGTTTTAGAATTTTATTGCTCTGATTGCTTCGCCTCCTGCTGTAGACGCCAGGATTTCGAATTTCTTTGTAATTTCAAAATTTTTGCCCAATCTGGAACGCACAGCAACTTTTGAGATATAAATTTTGCGAAATAGTCGAAGTTTTAGAATTTCATTGCTCTGATTGCTTCGCCTCCTGCTGTAGGCTCCAGGATTTTGAATTTCTTCGTAATTTCAAAATTTTTGCCCAATCTGGAACTCACAAGGACTTTTGAGATGTAAATTTTGCGGAATAGTCGAAATTTTAGAATTTCATTGCTCTGATTGCTTCAACTCCAGCTGTAGGCTCCAGGATTTCGAATTTTTACAAAATTTTAAAATTTTTGGCCGATCTGGAACGCACATGATTCAATTCATTAAAAAAAAGCGAATTTTCGAATTTCGAATTTCGAATTTTTTTGACATATTACCGGGTTACGGTAGCTTTCCCTGAAAGAGCACCTTTTAGAAAACGGCTTGGCTTACGGTAATGTAGCATTTTTTTAAATTTCTACTCTCTCGACGAAAAAGGACCACATTTCTCGCTAAGCTCTGCATTTTTTTTTGTTCATTTTTGCTCACCCGACTCCAGCGACAGGTTGAGACTAACTTCGCTGAAATTTTTTGAATTCCATCTATGATTCGGAAATTTTTGAGCTAATTTTCGGCTAATCTGGAACGCACAGCAACTTTTGAGATGCAAATCTAACGGAATAGTCGAAGTTTTCGAATCTCATTGCTCAGGGTGCTTCGACTCTAGCTGTACGCTCCAGGATTTCGAATTTTTACAAAATTTCAAAATTTTTGCCCAATCTGGAACGCACTTGACTGAATTTTTAATAAAAAAAACTAATTTTTTGATTTTTTAAAATTTCAAAATTTCACTTTACTTAACAACCGATGTGCGCTCCAGAATTGCGAAAAAAATTGAGAAAACAGAAAATAGACAACACCAAACTCGACACAAAACACACAACGACGATCACGGCACTCCAGCCAGGAATTCTTGATGGAAAGCCGACCAGAACATGAGCACCGTTGTGCACAAGTTGAGGATCAAGAAACAGGACATCGCTGTGACGTCGGCCATCGAAAAGAAACGCTGCCACAGGGTTCGGATCTGGAAGAAAACGGGATTGTAGAGGAAAGTGGAGATGAAACTGGAGAAATTAGAGAAATAGTTTTGATCGACGGGATAGCTGAATAAGGCACAGCTGCCGACCGGATTAGACCAGGGTTGATCAAAGGAAGGCCAAGTTGATCAACCGATCAACCGAGCAACCGGATTAGGCCAGGGTTGATCAGAAGAAACCAGGATTGTTGAAGAGGAATTTTTCAGTTTTTGGCCTTCGCTAGAGCTTTTGGTCAAAATCCGGCAAAATCTGGCTTAAATTCTCTCAATTCAACTAAAGCCAGGATCATGGTTGGCCAGGTTGACCAGAAACCAGCTTCAGCCGTGGGTTCAGCAAGGCTTCTAGCTTTCAGCCGTGGGTTAGGCAAGGCTTCTGGCTTTCAGCCGTGGGTTCAGCAAGGCTTCTGGCTTTTTATTTGGCTTCCAAGCTTGGGCAAAGCCAGCCTTCCAGCCAGCATCCCCAGTTGAACATTGAGTACAAATATTTTGTTGAAAATCAAAAAACTGAATCCTAGAAATGCTAGGGTGACATCCAGATAGAAGAAAAAACACAATTAAAATCAAATTGCATTTGCCAATCTTTTGGAATCATCGCAAACTCTTGACAGTCCACTCTGCAGTCACTATTTTAGCGAAAACCAAAAATCTGAATTCTAGAAATTCTAGGGTGACATCCAGCTTGAAAGAAAAATTCAATTAAAATCAAATTATTCTAGCCGATTTTTTGGAATCATCGCAAACTCTTGACAGTCCACTCTCTGCAGTCCAACGACAGGAATGAAGAGCTCAACAGGTTAAAACATGTTAAACCCAAAGGAAAATAAAGAGCAAGTTGTCTTTTTCTCTACTATAACCGTTTATTGTTAATATTTTGGTCAATGAAAATCAAGTGAAATCAAAATTTGAAAATTCGATGGACTGTTAAGAGTTGGCGATGATTCCAAAAAATTGACAAACGCAATTTGATTTTAATTGTGTTTTTTCTTCTATCTGGATGTCACACTAGAATTTATAGAATTCAGATTTTTGAAATCTTTTATTTTTAAAAATTGAAAACTGGATGGACTGAGTTCGCGATGATTCCGAAAAATTGGCAAATGCAATTTGATTTTAATTGCGTTTTTCTTTCAATCTGGATGTCACACTAGAATTTCTAGGATTCAGATTTTCGATTTTCACCAAAACAGCTCATGGCCAGGTCAGGCCGGCCAGAAACCAGATACAGCCCTTGTTTTGTGTGGGTTAGGTAAAGCAATACAGGTTTCTGGTTTTTTAGATGGCTTTGTAGCTGGCTTACAAGCTTGGGCTTGTCCAGAATCCAGCTTTGGATCTGGCGTGCTCTCTCGTTTTTTTGTTATCGGACGCCCCGCCCCTTTTGCCATTGGCTTTGACTTTGAGCTAAAATATCTTGGTTTTGGCCTGTCCAATTCAAGTCTTTTTGGTCTCATTAGATGCGCCAAGTCTTTCTCTATCGATTGGTATAAAAACTATTGAATTTGGACGGTCCGAAGCCGAGATATTTGAGCTCATAGTTTGAGTGCCAAAAGGGGCGGGGCCAGAAAAAGCTTATATACGCAACCCATATCATTAGATGCGCCAAGCCTTTCTCTATCGATTGGTACAAAATCTATTTAGATTGGACAGTCCAAAGCCGAGATATTTGAGCTCAAAGTTAGTTTGCCATTGGCAAAGGGGTGGCGCGTTCCTTTTGCGCCCCTTTTGCGCCCCTCTGCCCCCTTTGCGCTCCGTCCCTTTTCCCTATTGGTAATCTAAGTTTGAGATCGATCTCGGTGTCCTTTCCCACCAAAATCCTTTCCCAATCGAATTCCTCACCTCTTTATCCGCGTCAATTGATGCCAGCTGGGCTCTGATCAATCCGATACAACTCCTGAAGTCAAATTTGCGCAAATCCCGATTTCTCTCCCACCGTATCTCCCTAACGACTTCATTTTTGCAATTCAACGAATAAAGCGAGTCATCTGAATGGTTGATGTCGAAATCGAACTGAAATTTGAATGCATTTCCCTAGTGATCGATTAAAGCAAAGAAATCTACGCAAAGCAATCGTATTTTTCTACACAAAAGCCACTCATTTTCCCGAATTTTCGGGAAAACTCACTTTGAGACATTGAGGAACCTCGTAATAGTCCTGAAATTGGTTTTTCGTGCAAAAAGTAAGCGTCCGTAACGAAACCAACGCTGTTTCTTGGCTATACTATCGTTTTTTTTAAAATCTAACAAATTTTCTAGCTTATCTGGAACGCACACGGTCGTTTGCATCCAGTTTTTGGATCAGAATAGCAATTTTCGAAAGATTGATTGTTGCGTAACTGAACCAACGCTGTAAACTAGTTGTAAGGCTTTGTTTTCAAAAGCTGACCAATTTTTTTGGCTTATCTGGAGGTCACACAGTTGTTTGAATCCAGTTTTTAGATCAGAAAAGCAATTTTCGGAAATCAGTCTATTGCGTAATTGAACCAACGCCGTCAAACCAGTTTTACTGCTTGTTTTCAAAAGCTGACAAATTTTTTGACCTATCTGGAGGTCACACAGTTGTTTGAATCCAGTTTTTAGATCAGAAAAGCAATTTTCGGAAATCAGTCTATTGCGTAATTGAACCAAGCCGTCAAACCAGTTTTACTGCTTGTTTTCAAAAGCTGACAAATTTTTTGACCTATCTGGAGGTCACACAGTTGTTTGAATCCAGTTTTTAGATCAGAAAAGCAATTTTAGAAAATCAGACTATTGCGTAATGGACCAACGCTGTAAATCCAGTTTTACTGCTTATTTTCAAAATCTGGCAATTTTTTTGGCCTATCTGGAACGCACACAGAGTCTAGAGCCAATTTTGAAGCCATTTTTGCCATTTTTGCCATTTTTGAGCCAAAGATCCATTCAAGGCTAATGGGCATTTTGCCAAAGTTGCGTAACTAAACCGACGATACCTTCTCCTCTCTGAAAATGTTGAGAATCCATCGAGGCACCGGTGTGTTCAAATAGAGCACACGTTCGTGGATGAAAATGTTGATCACCGAGACGGCGATGGCGAGAATCGAGATCGCCGTTTGGATCAACACGTAGCGGCCTGGAATTTGTGTGGGTTTTGGCGGTGAATTTTGATAAAAAGAAAATTTTTGGACATCCTGGAACTCACAGCAGACAGTGGCATGGCAAAAAAAGTGGATTTAAAGTTTTAAATTTTCGACGATTTTTGACTTTGGAGTTTCACCACAAAAAGACCCCGTAGCCAATAAGAGCGGGTCACAAGAGGGCGATCGGACAGCAGCCATGGTGTAGTGGTTAGTGCGCTGGGCTAGAGAACCAGTGGGGGGTCTTCCCGTGGGTTCGAGGCCTACGGCTGACAAAAATCGTTGCTTTTTGAGACCCCTAGCCAATAAGAGCGGGTCACAAGAGGGCGATCGGACAGCAGCCGTGGTGTAGTGGTTAGTGCGCTGGGCTAGAGAACCAGTAGGGGGTCTTCCCGTGGGTTCGAGTCCTGCGGCTGACAAAAATCGTTGGTTTTTGAGACCCCTAGCCAATAAGCGCGAGTCACAAGAGGGCGATCGGACAGCAGCCATGGTGTAGTGGTTAGTGCGCTGGGCTAGAGAACCGGTGGGGGGTCTTCCCGTGGGTTCGAATCCAGCCGCTGACAAACTTCGTTGCTTTTTGAGAAAATGTTTAAAAAGTTTCAAATTTCTCTTGAAAATAAATAAATACTATTTCTAAAGCTTTTATATTGCTTATTAGAACTAGAAAAGCGCTGAGAAAAGCGTCAAAAAAGCTTTCACCTCTTCTCTCCTTCTTCCTATCCGTTCTCCGATGATTCTTCAGCCCATTCAACTTTACTTTATATCATTTAAAAGCTTCAAACTTCCTCTTAAACTGGTTTAATTTAGAATATTCTTTGTTCATTTTGTTTGTTCACTTTGTTCATTCACCTAACAACGGAACACCCTCGCTACTCTTCGGCATCTCCGATGAGACCATGTCGAGGATAACGGCCTGTAAAGTTGATTGTAGAAATTTAAATTTAAATTCAAAAATACCATAGTGAGCAACGTTGTCAATCCGAGGGAAACCTGAAAATTGAAAATATGCAAAGCTTTCTGGTCAGAAAATCGTTTTGCACTGAACCAACGCTGTAAACTAGTTGTATGGCTTTGTTTTCGAAACCTGACGATTTTTTTGGCCCATCTGGAGCGCACACGATCTTTTGCATCCATTTTTTGGATCAGAAAAGCGATTTTCGAAAGATTGATTGTTGCGTAACTGAACCAACGCTGCAAACTAGTTGTATCGCTTTGTTTTCGAAATCTGACAAATTTTCTAGCTTATCTGGAGGTCACACAGTTGTTTGAATCCAGTTTTTGGATCAGGAAAGCAATTTTCGGGAAGCAGATTATTGCGTAACTAAACCAAAAAAACCGTAAATCCAGTTTTACTGCTTGTTTTCGAAATCTGGCAAATTTTTTGGCTTATCTGGAGCGCACAGGGTCTTTTGCATCCATTTTTTGGATCAGAAAAGCGATTTTCGAAAATCAAATTATTGCGTAACTGAACCAACGCCGTACATTAGCTTTACGGCTTTGTTTTCAAAATCTGACAATTTTTTTGGCCTATCTGGAAGGCACATGATCTTTTGAAACCATTTTTCTCATTATAAAGTAGCTTTTTGAAAATCAGATTATTGCGCAACTGAACCAACGCCGTACATTAGCTGTAAGGCTTTGTTTTCGAAATCCGATAAACTTTCTGGCTTAACTGGAACGCACACGGTTGGCTGCATCCATTTTTTGAATCAGAAAAGCGATTTTTGAAGTATTGATGGTTGCGTAACTGAACTAACGCCGTAAATCCAGTTTTGCTGTCTGTTTTCAAAAGCTGACAAGTTTTCTGGCTTATCTGGAAGGCACACGGTCGTTTGCATCCAGTTTTTAGATCAAAAAAGCGATTTTCGAATTTCGATTATTATTGCGTAACTGAACCGACGCCGTGAACAGCCAGCTGGACCGCTGGCTGGACGGCTTTGCTTTCAAATTCTCAAACCTTTTCCTGTCGATCGCCGAGAATTCCATGCGGTGTGAATAAGCCAACAATCGAGACGTTTACGATGAGAAATGTCGGAATTAGAATCACCACGATGTAGTTGAGCGGTTTGCGTTTGATTTTCTGAAATTTTTGCAATAAATTAGCGCAATTACTCAACTTTTTGCGAATCCTGGAAGTCACAGAGTCTAAATGCGATTTTTCAGAAGCCACCGATTCATTTAGCGAATTTCGAATTTGAGAAAAGCCGCGTAATTGAACCGGGTTGGAAAATTTGCGAAACTCGATTTTAAAGACTATTCAATTGCATAAATTGGTTGTGTGCTTTCCAGCTTGCACTCACCAAATGATAAAACACTTCCTCGTAGGTGTTCACGTGGCCGTTTGCTCCCTCGTAAGATTTGACGACTTTCTCGGCGGTAAAGTTGAGAATTTCCCACTCGGAGTTGTGCTGAAAATTTGAGTGGCAATGTTTAAGTTGCCTCCCAGCATTGGCAAAGCTTCAAATAAGAACTTTAATGGAAGGAAAATGGCTCTGGAAAGTTGTTGAGAAGTTTTGAAGGCGATTTTTCATCTTTTTTCCATGAATTTCAACTCGATGAAATCGAGATTTTGGGCGTTTCAAAAACGGTCAACTCACGGCATTCGTCGGCACGTGCACCTCGCGAATGATATGCGAGATTTGGTGATACTGATAGCTCCACGAGCCGAATTGCAGTGAGCACAGCTGGGTGTCGAATGGGAAATTGAGGATCGACATTGAGCAACCGATATCGATCAACTGAAAATTGGTGCATCTGGAACGCAGATGACCGTTTGAGTCCAGTTTTTAGATCCGAAAACCAATTTTTGAAAGATTGATTATTGCGTGACTAAACTAACGCCGTAAAGCCAGTTTTGCTACTTGTTTTCAAAATCTCAGCGATTTTCTGGCCTATCTGGAACGCACATGACCGTTTGAAGCCAGTTTTTAAATCAGGAAACCAATTTTTGAAAAATTGATTGTTGCGTAACTGAACCAAGGCCGTAAAACCAATTTTACTGCTTGTTTTCAAAATCTGAGTGATTTTCTGGCTTATCTGGAACGCACACGACCGTTTGAGTCCAGTTTTTAAATCAGAAAACCAATGTTTGAAAGATTTGCTATTGCGTAACTGAACCAAGGCCGTAAAACCAGGTTTACTGCTTGTTTTCTAAATCTGATCAATTTTCTGGTTTATCTGGATGTCACAAAAGCTTTTGAGATAATTTTGAAATGAATTCAAGTGATTGTCAACATGGCGCAGTGGGTTAAGCGCTTGTCACGGTTCAAGTTTCGAACCCAGGGGTCAAGGGTTCGAGCCCGGGACCGGTTTTTTTGATTTTTTAGTCTTTGAATCATTTTTTTAAAGAATACCTTATTGAAATCGGCTTCTACAATTCCCTCATGACTGACTCGGACGTTGAAAAGCGCGAGCGGCTCTTTCACATCAACCCTAAAATCATAAAAATTGTAAAATTCTAATTTTCTTGTTTTTTCTTCTTTAGCAACTCCAATGACCTCCAGTTTAAAGGAATTTTTAAAAAAATTAGCACATACGTGTTGAAAATGTATCCATCGGGCAGCCAGACCTGATTCGCCGGCACATTTATCATCTAAAGCTTTGATGGAGGAGAACCAAAGCGAGATTTTTGATCCAAAAACTTCTCCCCACCTGAATTCCGCCCCACTCCGACGCGTTCCACGTGAGGAACTCGTCTTTCCAGCTCTGAAATTCGAAATTTCGGAACCAAGATGTTTTTATGTAAATTTCCACGTCTAGAGGTGGATATTTTCGTCGGAATTGTCGAACTGGATGTCACAACAGGTATTGGCTAATTTAGTTTCTTGTTTAAGATCATTTAACCTTTCGACCCTCCGAGGTTCGGAGCCGTCAGAGTTGACCCCCTTCCTTTTCCCATCTTTCATTCTAGACCTCAAAAGAGCCACCCATGATCATCGTGATCTCCAATTTGCATATTCAATCACTTTGCATAAATTATAGCTCAACCATTTTCAAGAAAATCGCCCAGTCCCGTACGTGGGAGGAGAGCGCATCCAAAATCGGCAAAAAGCGTGAGATTTTTGTGCATTTTCGAATTTTTGAGGATTCTCCGAGTTTTCGTCGAGTAGAATCAGTAATTTTGGGTGGTAAGGGAACCAAAAAATGCAAAGCCAAAGAATCTTTGGAAAACATTGTAGTTGTGGCGATGTTTTATGGTAAAATGATAGTATATGAAAAAGTTTATGCCTGAAAAGTTAGTTATGGATGTCACCGTGTAATTTGGAATTAAGTTCACGAGCAAATTTGTAAATTTTTCGAGATGGGAAAGCAGCGCAACGTAGCTGGTTAGATTTAAGCGCCGAGAAGTAGCTAATCGATGAAATTTTAAATGGAAAGGAGATGCTGGATGTCACAGGGTAATTTGAAATTACTCTCGTACGGAAATTTGTAAATTTTTCGAGATGGTTAGAGTAGCGCAACGTAGCTGGTTAGATTTAAGCGTTGAGAAGCAGCTAATCGATGAAATTTTAAATGGAAAGTAGATTCTGGATGTCACAGTGTAATTTGGAATTACTTTCGTACGGAAATTTGTAAATTTTTCGAGGTGGTTAGAGTAGCGCAACGTAGCTGGTTAGATTTAAGCGCCGAGAAGTAGCTAAAAGATAAAATTTTAAATGGAAAGTAGCTTCTGGATGTCACACTTTACTATGGAATTACTCTCGTATGGAAATTTGTCAATTTTTCGAGGTGTTAAAAGCAGCACAACGTAGCTGGTTAGATTTAAGCGCTAGGAAGCAGCCAATCGATGAAATTTTTATAGAAAAGTAGCTTCTGGATGTCACCCTGTAATATGGAATTGCTTTCGTACGGAAATTTGTAAATTTTTCGAGTTGGTTAGAGTAGCGCAACGTAGCTGCTCAGATTTAAGCGCTAGGAAGCAGCTAATCGATTAAATTTTTATAGGAAAGTGGATTCTGGATGTCACACTGCCGTATGGAATTGATTTCGCAGCGAAACTGAAAATTCTCTCGCCAACCTGCGGAAACCACAGCAACAACTTGATCTGCTCGCTCAACTCGTTCTGAAAGAGATTTTTGTAGGCCAGCGACCAGGCAGTTGCTTACCACTTCGATCAAACTGTAGACTTGCGGTTGAACAGTGATATTTAGACGGGAATTGTAGTCGCGAACGGGACGAGTTAACTGAAAAGGGTAATTAAACCGATCTAAAAATTTGATTTGTAATTTCTTCAAAAATAAATTTACTAATTGCTGGTGTGACTTCCAGATTGAAGGAAAACGATGAAAAAATGTGACCTTATTGTAGCCGGCGAGGAGATGAGCGACCAAGTCTTTCTCGTAGACCCCAAAGCAACCATCGAGTACAGCACCGAGTAGATACAAGAATCGGAATGTGCCGAGGGATATCCAGGATCTACCGTATCCTTTCCACATTTCCAGAGACGTTTTTCAATCTCGTGAATCGAAAAAATCGACGATGAAATCGACGAACGAATTTTTCCTTTCAACAACATCGACACTTTAACGAGCGTGTGAGTCGAGATCGAAACATAAAAACGATTGGAAAATCTTCTCGAATGCCCCTGATGACTCAAACTAAAGTCCAGCTTTACGAAAAGTTTGAAAAAAGATTTTAAACAAAAATAGAAAAATATAAAAGCTTAAAATCACCCATTCCAACAAAAATCAAAATTTTTTTATTAAGAAATATGAATAAATTTCTCGCTCTAGTGGCTAATGTGCGCTCCAGAAAGATGAAAATTTTAAATAAAAACGAATAAAGATGAGGAAATAGAGGGGGAAATGGGGGAGAACTCGAATCGATCTACTGTAGTCGTAAATTCTAGCATTTCAAAGCATTTCAACGATCAAATTCAAACAACGATCTACATTGTGACATCCAATTTGGCTAAAATCGATCTCATCTTTGAGTTTCCGAAAAAAAATTCGCCACTTTTTATTGTCGAAGGGGATCGAACGCTTTTATGAGCTTCATTTCAAAAAGAGAGCCGAGAGAGTCAAAAAGTAGCCAAAATTCTAGAGTGACTCCCAGGATCGAAGAAAAGAATCGAAAAAAGGAGGAGGCCTTGTGGGAAAGGGCTAAGGGAGGGGAGGAGAAGATATTTCATCCATAGCTGCCGGCTCGCTGGGGCTATTCGATGATATTTTTCTGGGTTTTGGCGAAAATTGGCATCGATGGATGTCAGTGGAGTGGTTTTGATAAAAATGGAATGAAAAAGAGGTCATTTTGAGATTTCGATAGACTCAACGACGAGTTTTTCGGAAAATCGGAAAATCGGAAACACAAGAATTCAGAAATCCAGATAGAAGTGCGATTTTGAAAAAATTCGATACTGTGACATCCAGAATGGCCAAAAAAAATGAGAACTTTGATATTTTGGCGAAAGGATGGCTATTTTTTGAGCGGGAAGTGTTTCAGGAGGTTGAGGGTAAATTAAAAGAGTTTTTAGAGAGCCAAAAAGAGCCAAAAAGGTCAAGTGACATCCAGGATTTCGATTTAGAAGCTCTAAAAGAGTTTAAAGTGTTCATTTCATTGCAAAACTACGGCAGTTATTGGATTCTAGGCTTAAATGAAAGCCAGGGTTACCTAGCCTAGGTTTGCTAGGTTTCGGTAAGCCAGGGTTTACGGATTGTGGAGTATTTTTGGTGATTTCCAAGCAAAAAACCCGAAAATTGGATGATTGCTTTTGTCGCCGTGGCGCAGTCGGGAGCGCGCTTGGCTACAGCCCACAGGATCCGGGTTCGACTCCGGGTTGTGTCATGACATTTGCTATTTTGAAAAACGAATTATGAGATGTCTAAGTACATAGAATTCTAAGCCTAACAAACGAAAAATTATTGAAATTGGCCAACGAGGAGCTGAGAACTCGCGTGCAAAGCTGAACGAGGCGCTTTCAGCTAAAAACGAGATATGAAAAAACGAATCACAAAAACGAGTGTCGTGTGCTCCAGATTGCACAAATTTAACGAAAACCCTCGAAATTTGCTTTCGTTTTCGCGAGAAAATCAACCAGTCTTGAAACGTAAAAACCATTTGCGCCAATCTTGCCGTGGAACACTAACCAACCACCGGGAAACTTGTTGTGCCACCCATAGTTTACAATTTTATCCATTTTAACACGGATTTCCCATTTCTGAGCTGACAAATCGGCGTCAACTCAAAGGCAAGAAATCAAGAAGGTGGCAAGAAATCAAGAAAAGGACAAAAATCCAGTTTTATGCCCGGATTTGCGTTTTGCTTTGATTTGATCTGCTTTCTGACTTTCAATCTCCAATTTTGTTAAATCAGACGCGAGCTGGCGGTGAGTAGAAGTGAAGCGGGAACGCAGGACGAATGCTTCCATTGTGTATTATTGAATTGTCACAAAATATGCAGACTTTACGATATTTCTTCTGGATCACCCCTTGTGCACTCCAGATTGCCCAAATCCCGAATTTAAAAGTGTTTTTCCCAGTAGTGTTTTTCCCAAGCTAAGGAATTACGGTAGCTACCGTTGTGTAAATTGGAGTATCGCGGGATATGCAAAGTATTCAAAAACGTTTATTGGATTGCCTCGTGTGCGCTCCAGATCGTCCAAATCCAGAAATTTAAGATCGTTTTCTCAATTCCCAGCGAAGGAAGCTACCCAGCTACCGTCCGTGTAATTCGGGTTTCATGGAATATGCAAATTATACAAAAACGTTTATTGGATTGCCTCGTGTGCACTCCAGATCGTCCAAATCCAGAAATTTAAGATCGTTTTCTCAATTCCCAGCGAAGGAAGCTACCCAGCTACCGTGGTGTAAATTGGAGTATCACCGGATATGCAAATTATTCAAAAACATTTATTGGATTGCCTTGTGTGCGCTCCAGATCGTCCAAATCCAGTCTTTAAAAAATCGTTTTCCTCAATTTCAGGGTCAATTTTCTCAGCTAATCTTTTTTTGATCAAAAAAAAAGATAAACAATAAACAAAATGAAATCACTCTTTGTTTTCTCGCCATCTTCCTCAATTTTGTTTTCATTTTCACTTTCGATTTTTGTTTTCGTTTCGTCGATTTCATAAAAATATCATCAGAAACAGGGAAAATAATCAAAAAAAAGTTTGTTTTGTCTTTTTGAATTTTCGAATTTTCGAAAGACAACACAAATTTGAGTCCTCAAATTTCAAAAAGTTTCCGTCAAAATCTGTTTTTATTCTGTATTTCCAAAATCCAAAACATTTATATAATTTGTGAGTGAGCTGAGCTGAGTTTCGCTGAGCTGAGTTTCGCTGAGTTCTAGAAATGGTGAAGCTGAGCTAAGCAGGAAATTCTTTGACTCTAAATCATCTCCAAATCATCTCCAAATCGAATCTCAATTTTGAACTGAGCTTTTGGAGCTGAGCTTTTGGGCTAAGATTTTGGGCTGAACGCTTGCTTGGACCAGGGATTTTCACCTGAATTTTCAGGGCTAAGATCAAAGAAATCCTGATCTGGAGATCTGGCCTTGGAGTCGAGTTCTGCCATGGTTTCTGCAGGCCCGCGAAATTTTCAGTTTTGTGGTGAAATCAACGCCATACTAAAATGTGACATCCAGAATCTACTTTCCATTTATAATTTTATCGCTCAGCTGCTTCTCAGCACTTAAATCTAACCAGCTACGTTGTGCTACTTTAACCACCTTGAAAAGCTTACAGCTTCCCATACGAAAGTAGTACCAAATTACACTGTGACATCCAGCATCTCCTTTCCATTTAAAATTTCATCGATTACCTGCTTCTCAGCGCTTAAATCTAACCAGCTACCGTGCGCTACTTTCCCATCTCAAAAATCTACATATTTCCATTCGAAAGTAATTCCAAATTACATTGTGACATCCAGAATCCACTCTCCTATAAAAATTCCATCGATTACCTGCTTCTCAGCGCTTAAATCTAACCAGCTACCTTGCGCTACTTTCCCATCTCGAAAAATTTACAAATTACCATACGAAAACAATTCCATATTACACTGTGACATCCAGCATTTCCTATCCATTCAAAATTTCATCGATTAGCTGCTTCTCAGCGCTTAAATCTAACCAGCTACGTTGTGCTACTTTAACCACCTTGAAAAGCTTACAAATTTCCATACGAAAGTAGTTCTATACTACAGTGTGACATCCATAACTAACTTTTCAGGCATAAAATCTTCAATACCTTACCTTTTTACTACCTTTTTACTATCAGCTATAGAATTATACTTTAAGCGATATAATTTCCAAAACAAAAAATTCTTAGAACTTTATTCTCAACAAATCTCCGATCTCTGGGTTCGCTTCCTGAATTTCTCCCCTTTTGATATCTTTCTTGGACTCGTTCCAATTTGAAATGAGTCTTTGCTGAAAGAGAGAAAGTGACGTCACTTTGTCATCAAGAAGTGACGTCATCAAGAAGTTTCGAGAAGAATTCTTTGATTTCCTGTGAAAAACTTTTCAAACTTTTGTTATTTTTGCTCATTCTGGATGTCACGCTGTAGTGTTTCGTTAAAAAATTTTCCAATTTCCATCAAATTTTTCAATTCTTCACCCAAATTCCGTTACTTAAGGAAAATTTTGACAAAAATTTGTTAGCTTTTCAAGATTTTTTAATTTTTGCCCATTCTGGATGTCACACTACATTTCTAGATGTAAAGATTCGCAATCCCCCACCAAATTTCACCCAACACCAAGAATTTTCGAGTTCCTCGCGATTTCTCAAAAAAAAACACCAATATCACGCTTTTTTCTCATTTTTCCCTTTTTTCTGGACATCACACGTCCCATTGCTCTTCTCCATTTTTTGTTTCGGCATTCAATTCGAAACTTTTCTCTTCTCTATTGAATAGACATGTGACGAGTCTCGAAAATGTCCAAATTGCGTATTTTGTTTTTTTTGTTTTCCCCGTTACGTAATCCTATTCAAATGTGCTCCAATTTGCAGGAATCTATTCATTTCTAAGCCCAGTTGCCTCAGTGAATATCCATTTCTAAGCGAGAACTCAAAAAGCGATGTCCCGATATCTTACGCTGAAGAATTGCCTTTTCGCTGAATAAGATTCATGTTTTTTTCTGTGAAAATGGGAATCCTGGAACGCACACCAGGTTTAGAGATACTCAAAAACCTATATTGTTCGACTTTTTTCACCCACCGGTCTGAGCTAGGCCTTGAGCTAGGACACTTTTTCGACCAGGCCAGCAGTCACGCCAAGCCAGTCCAATTGCACCTAAATGCTGCTGTGACTGCCATAGTGCCCAAAAATCGTCTTACATTTCCGATTTTTCCAATGAACAGCTCGAAATTTGCTCAAACTCTCGACGCCGAAAATGGCAACTTTGGAATGTTGAATAGGAATGGAAAAAAGGTGCCTAAATGCTGCTGTGACTGCCATAGTGCCCAAAAATCGTCTGACTTTTCCGTTTTTTCCAATGTACA